TAATAAAATTAAAAAACAGTACAAACAACATCATTACAACATCATAATAATAATAATAATAATAATAAAAAAATAATAATAATAACAACAACAACAATAACGTACAATCCTCATAACAAGTCTTAACAGTATTAAATTGACTTACATAAAGACATAATTCAAAATAGAAGTTTAATTTATAATGCCTAATATAATATAATATAATAATATATAGTATAATATAGAATAAAATAAAACATAATAAGAATATCTCAATAAAACAGCAATAAACAATGGCTAAGAGTTTAAAATATATCGTAAAACTTCAGCTTAAATGTATTTTCTATTTTGCAGTCCCGGAGCTCAATTGGTAAATTATTATAAAAATTAGGACAAAGATAACTAAATGCACATTTAAAACATTCCAAATTGACTGTATTCGGATATTTATTTCAGCACCGACATACCAAGTGCATTTAATATTATGACCCGGGAGTTTATGTCCGATATACAAGAACTTGCAACAAAAGCCCAGGCCAGTGATGGTGAAGTTGATGAAAATGGTTACACAATTCTTATGCAGTATCTTATACAAGGAAGAGGGTGGCTCATACTTAGTACATTGCACAACCTAGCAGCCCAGGTAAGAATGACACGTCATAATATTTCACGTTTATGTATTATGTTCATGTAGGTACATTTTGCAAGGAGTCTTGGGGTATGTTCACACACACACACAGCATGGCGTAGCTGGCGTAGCTTATGCAAGGCGTAAGCTAATCCATGGATTAAAATTCCAAAGTGTTCACTATATTAACGCTGGCGTTAAAAAAGGGAAGTGAGAGATTCTTGATGGGAAGACTATAATATATGGAACAGCTGCAGTGTTATTGTTTGTTGTACACGCTGTTGCCTAACATTACTGTCTTCGCTTTTGCTGTTTTTACTTCATTTTATCAAAGAAAGTGTAGCTCATGAGGTGCATAATATAGGCCTAGACACAGAAAACTGTGCTTGTTTGTTTGGTCTTTGGTTAGATACATAAACTCGATTTGCCAAGACAACTTTACTATTGCTAGTGCTAGATTTCCAATTTCTGACCTCAATTTGGTCCTGAGATACAGGACTGTCCCAAAGTCCAATGAAGTCGCTGACTTTGTTAGCCTTAATACAGCTCTAAAATTTTAGCCATTGTTCAATGTTAAAATTAACTTTACCAAATAATACGTTAAAAACCCTCGTAAATACCATAAAGGAAAACAATTGGTCACGCGCTTTCTTTTCGGAGTAGCTTGTTTGTTTATTACAAAACTAATCATGATTGGTCAGTCATTTGACCTGAGGTCAAAATCAATCAAGCATCACTAGCATTAGATCCAAGACGTTAACTACTGTAGTATGAGGTCTGCAGGACAGATGTGGCGTTAATAACGCGACTGCCTAATTCACACACAAAGGCATACACGGTACGTTACCCCAGCCTTGCGTTGTGTGTGAACATACCTTAAGGTTCCATTTCATAATCATGACCTTGATCTTCTTACTCCAAAATTTAATCACTATCAGATCAATATGTACACGGTGCAGTAAATTTTTATGGTCATCCATAATCTTGCTAACAAACAGTGGTGAATACAACCTCCTTGGCAAAGGTAACAACATGATTCGGTAAGGAGAAAGACTCACATACAGGATGTAAAGATCTTTGTTAAATAATTAGTAACATTGTCAACAAACCAGGTAGATAAACAGTTGTGGTTTTTAATACAAAGCAGGGAAATGGCCTAGCATTTAAGGTGAACAGGTGAACAGTTTTACAAAGGAAAGGTGATTACTCTTAAGGATGAATGTCAGTGATGTGACCTCATTTAATAGATATTTGACAGTTAGACAATTAAAAAAAGGAAAAGAAAAAAATAAAAGTAAGAACTGAGTAATGAATAGGTCATGAGGGAATTTCTGTATTTCACTTTTTTTTTTCTAAAAATGACATATTTTCTTTATAATAAAATAATAATTGTACAGATAAGAATAGCATTTTTAACAACTAACAGATTATCTCATAAATGCCTTAGCAAAAAAAAATCTAAAAATAGTTTATAAAACCATTTTTTTTTCACCCCGCTATGGGTTAATCCCTGAATAATAATTGTACAGATAAGAATAGCACTTTTAACAACTAACAGATTATCTCATAGATGCCTTAGCAAAAAAAAATCTAAAAATAGTTTATAAAACCGTTTTTTTTTTACCCCGCTATGGGTTAATCCCTGAATCACCCCTGTAAGTGAAAGAGAAAAATCATTACAAATACTATTCACCATAAAAGCCTTTAAAACCACATTGTTGATGTCATTATTCGTAGCAATATGAAAAGTAAACACTTGCGTGATTTAAATCTCATGAATGGTTGTACACTGTAGCGTACCAGGCCTTTTCATTTCACTGAAAGCTATACAAATATTGATATACAGTAGTGTTATTTACCAGAACATTTAAGAGTTTGGCATACACTACACATTACAGTACTGTATGTTAGAGGCCCAACGGTATATTTGAAATCAGTGCTAATAATTAACTCGGTGGCTCATATAAATTAAGGTAGGAACTCCAGCTTGTGTTCTGATATATTATGTAATGATAATTGATAATATTAAAAGCTTGATAATGATGATAGTTCATGATAGGACGTTTAAGGTACAGTGAATTAACCTAATTTTTGAACTTTAATTTTAAAAGTTCATAATATTTGTTTATGATAAAATGTACCAGTGATTTTATAAATGGCACAGTAACCACTGCCAGGTTGTCAAACACATTGTGAAGAGCTGTCCAAAACCTGACTGCTTCGCTATATAGATTTTATTGGTTCAAATTAAAATAGGGCATCCTATATGCTTGCTTTAAAATAAGCATTTAAACGTAGTCTATAGTTGGTTGTCATTTGAACCTGATAGTACTATAATTCTATAACAGTTATGTCAAGGCCTTTATGTGATTCATATTTTTCCCACTGTATCAACGCAGGGGCATAGGCTGCTTTTTTCGTAAGAGACAGGGGTGGAGGGATGCGAAAGTTGAGGATGAGGATCTAAATCTTTAATCGAATGAAAAATATGATTATTTTCAGTATTTTAACATATTTTAGTGGATAGTGGAACTAATTGGAGCTGTCATGGTGGGGGGGAGGGGGGAGACGGTTGTGCGTCTACATCCTGTGCATCCCTAAGCCTATACCCGTGAAATACTGAGGAATATTCCATAAGGTTGTAGTTATGCATTTGCTAAGCATGTAGATGAAGGGGTGGGGATGGTGGTGAGAAAATAAGGGTGTTAATATTGAATATAGATGCATGTTAGAAATGGACTGTTCAATCCAAAATAAACTGCCATCATGAAAGCAGTGACTGTGGATCTTAAAGTATCATCATAGCAAAAATATGCCCTTTGCTCTTCAATGACAAAACAATGTTATTGTCACATGGCATTGTGACAAACTATGTCACATGAGCTGGTCATTTACTGTGCAGTAGGTTGACATCACATGTGTTTTGTAGATTGCCTTGGTTTCCTTTTCCTTTAGGTTATAAATGCAAGTAAAAATTTCCTGTATTGTTATAGCAGATACTAATCGGTTTGACTCGGCCATCACAGGAGACCTTTTGATAGCGCTACGTGTAAAGGACTATCGAACCCTGTAACATTTCTTGTGTACTTTCTATAACAGAGTATTGATCTTTCAACCATTTACAAAGAAATTGTAAATATATGTGAATTTTATTGAGTGATTTTGAGCTTTTATTTAGTTCTATCATAATCCAGATATTTTAACAAGATGATTTTTTTTTTTGAATGAGAATAAAATATTATTTTTGTGTACTATTTCTTTTAAAATACCATAATTTTATTGTCATTTTATTTTAGGCATTATCTTGTATAAATGTAGAACTCGGAAACTTGCTAATTACATTGCTGCAAGAAACGCTGCGTGTACCACTCAGGCATAAGGATCATGGTAGGTTTAATCTTTAAATCTATCATCATAGAATAATAAATGTATTAGAAAATTTCCAGTAGGAAATATTTAGCACCAACTAATGGAAGTTGGTAGTCAGACCTCACTGTGAATTAAAATGCATCATATTAAAAATATAAACCATGAAATTGTCCCTATCTTAAGACATGTGACAACTTTTATTTAACAAATTTGTGTGGTGTGCCATTATATGGGTATGAATGGTTTTCATATTACACTCAAATTTGGGCATATCACATAGAATTTTTCTTAGTGTGGACCGAGATTTAGTCTATTAGTGTTTTGCCTAGGAAAGATTGCTTGGTGTGACACTGCTTTTAAAGAGTGCCCTGGATTAAAACATCGGGCGTAGAGTAGATTCAGCGAAAATTGAGAATGCAGAATTAAATCCCTATTCCAATGAAAAACATAATGGTCGTTTTTTAGTATTTTAATCCACTTAGTGGAACTAGTTTACCAGAAGCGGTTTGGAGCAGCGGGAACGGTTTGGTTTCTCAACCTCGAGGTCGGGGTTTCAAACCTTCGCTGTGCATTTCGCTTGTGTCCTTGAGCAAGACACTTTATCTGCATTGCTTCTCTTCACCCAGGAGTATAAATGGGTACCTGGTGGGGTTGCCTGCTCCTGCGCTGATTACCAGCAGCAACACTTAGCATGTGGACCCAATGACCAGGGAAAGGAACTGCGCTTTATAACCGCAAGGAAGAGGCGCACTATAAATGCCAGTACCAGTACCAGTTACTGCCATGTGGAAGTGGGGTTCATTGGCACCCCAGCATCCTCCAGCCTATACTGATGAAACATTTCAAGATACAAACACTGGATACAGAAGCTGCATCTACCGTATCAAATATTATTTAATATAACCTGTGATTTGTCTATATTTGGGTATGATATGATATGGGTATCAATGTAAGGGTAATTCATACAAATTTGATAGTGTGGACACATTAAATGAGGTTTAGGAAATAAATTTGAGAGAAATGAATACTTCTTTTCAACAGAACTGAAGCCAGGATTCTGTGGTTGGATGGCATATCAAACACCAAACTACACTATCAAATTTTACAGTATGTGACAAATAAATGTGATCATATGCTCATATTTGAGTGTAAAATGACATCATCATTATTCCCATATATGGGCACATCACACAAATTTATGTCACATAAAATTTGATAATGTGAACAGAGCTTAAAAGCCCTGTCCAGACTATCAAATTTTATTTGACAAAAACATGTGACATGTCTAAATATGGTCATGATGACATCACATGTCACGATAAGCACATCATGACTATATATGGGCATGCAGCAGTTCTTTGTCAAATAAAATTTGAGTCTGGACAGAGCCTTCATACCATTCATTATACCACCTTTGAACCAATAACACTAACACAAATTAAATGAAACTTAAATGAAAAAAAAAATATTTTTAATAATTAAAGTGCAAAAATTATTAGTGATTAAATAATATTAAAAATAAAAATGTATACATTTTGCCAAAGTAAACATTGCACTTTCAAAAGGTATCGTGCTGTGTCATGAGAGTTGTGGCTTGGCTAAAATGCTATAATTTGATTTAAAATTGAAGTGAAAAAGAAACTTAGAGCAGATATTATATACAAATGTGTTTATCTTTTGTTATCTTTATTATATTGCATGATTGCACAATCAAGATATATGCAGGGGCCGATTTTTTTTTTGGGGGGGGGGGGGGCTGACCAGCCAACCTCACCCTTTTAGAAAGTTAAAAAAAAAAATAGAAGAAAGGAAAAAAAAGAAAACATAGATCGCCCAAACGCGTCAGAGGTTATTTTCGGGCTTTTGGAAAACATAAATCACATTTATTTGTCACATAAAATTTGATAGAGTGCAGAGAGATTTACTCTTTTTCCGTAAAGTTGTTATTTGCTTATTGCTAATTTTGACGTGTCTTTCTACATTATTGACAGATGCATCTTATTGGGTTCCGCATGTGAGTTGTTCATTCCCACAACAGAAGGGAGTTCCTCAAAGACTACTGAGCTCAATCCATCAAGGTGGTCATCCTCGTAAGTACCAACCAAGTATGTCGACTGGATGGCAGCATGGAACCAGAGTTGGGAGACTGCACTCTGAAAAGAAATACGATAGCACTGACTCCGAAGGAGAAACAAAACCGAGAAGGATTAGATATGGGCCACTGAGAGAACGACAGAGTTATTTTCTGCAATCATTGAATCGTCGAAGGAAGAGTAGTGTTGTCAGGACAGCCTATGAGGTTGATCCTCAGTCTGCCTTGGTGCTAACAGAAGAGAATGATGCATTTGATCTATTTCTGGTTCTTTTGGCTCTACTTGAGAAACTGTGTGCAAATGAGTTATTAAGTAATACAAACAGGACTAGTTTATCTTTTGTTCTTGTGCCGCAAATGATGGAGATTTTGAGCTTTTTGAAGGAGTTTCATTTTGAAGAAAGAAAGAGTGTTGAAGCACTAGAACTTGGTAAAGGATGGGATGAAGATGAGATTCTGCCAACATTGCAACGATTGATTTTGAGAGTGCTGCTTAAGCTCTGCCATACTGTTGGTTCTAATTTGGATGGTGCTACAAGAATTTCTTCAACAAAAACCTTGACTTCTCTTATGCAAATTGCTAAGCATATCATGAAGGTGATTGATGGATCAAAGCCTTTTGAAACCATTTATGAAGATGCATCAGGTGATTCTCAATGCATGTCGGATGATGACTCAGAGATTTTTACTGATGCACAACAGCATTTATCTAAAACAGACAGCAAAAATACTTCTATTACATTCAATTTTCTCTACCTGTCTGAAATTTTGCAAGGAATCTTAGAGCTTATAACGTCTTTATTGCGTAACTCTACCACAAACCACACTGTCATTACCCATGTCAATGTTCTTTTGCAAGAATTTGAAAGCCAGTCAGGTTTTGATCTTCTTTCAGAGGTGATCAAAGATCTGGATGGGTGTTTAGTTATTGGAGTGGATAAAGATGGACAGATTAAAGAAATGTTGCGAGGCCTGATCAAGGGTCTGTCTGCCATGATCACAGCACTCAAGCGTTCAAAGTTGGAATACATGCACAAAATGCAGTGTCTTAAACGGACTCACAGGCAGTGTGATTACTCAAAATATATGCATCACCATCATAATATATATGGCATGAGCTGTGCTATTTATCAAGAGCAACTGCAGCATGAAAACAATCTGCAGACATTAAAATCGGATTTTACAACTACAGAAACCCACCAGACACAGCCTCTTTCATCAAATTTGAAATGCTGTGTTTCTCGCGTTACCGAAACTCTTCTCCAACTGTTTAGGCAATCACAATACAAGCTTGTTTTAGCTGGAATTTTATTTGCTATAGAGAACTCCGGAATTTGTTGTTGCATGACACCAGAACAAATCATTTTACCCCTCCTAGAGAATCTGCCAAAACAGTCGGCACAATTAAGACCATATATCTTAAGCATTATTGGGAAACTTATCTTAGAACAATTAGGAGGTAGTGAGAAACATGATAACTTTAACCTTGATATGTGTGCAGAATGTCAGGAAAGAAGGAGGAAGGTCTGCTCTTCCATATCAGAGCTTAAGAATCCTGAAGCCTTTGGTTCTTCAGATAGTGCAATTAGTAGTGATGGCAGTCTTCCAGAAGATGACACAATATTTTCTAAATGGAATTTTATTCATATGTATAGACGTTTTCTCACACACAAAGACAAAGCTTTGGGTATACAGGTGGCCAGACATTTGTACCATCTTATTAAACGTGGAGATTTTTCGTTAAAGCAAAGTCTTTACAGAAAGGTTTACCTGCCATGCTTTGAGTTGCATTCCAAGCAAGGGCAAGATGTCGTGGATGACAGTGAACTTATCAGTGCAGAGGTACTGGAACATTGTTTCTGTGCGCTGCCACCATTATTAACAACGACATCTGCACAGAGTTTATTTTTATACCAAGGTGGACTTAATCAACTCTTGTATCTTCTGAAGCTGGAGAACACAAGGCCATATGTCCTGCGAGTTTTTGAGGTGTTAATATTGTCTGAGCATGCCGCCCAGCGAGGTGATGACGAGAGTGGTGCACAGTCGCGGCAGATTGTTTCTGAAAGAACTGCGCAAGAAGAAAAATTCTCTCAGTTTACTTCTTCTTTCTCTGAAAGCTTGAGTATTCAAAGTGTGGAGTCAAATAATGTCATTGAAGCATTTGTAGATGTTCTACTTAATGTTATACCAAAAGATGACGAAGTATTAAAATCCTTAGAGGAATTGTTTGAATCTGAAAAAGGACACACAAGTTCACCCAGCAATATTAACAGTAAATCTAGTTCATGTTCCAGTAGTAAAACGATGACACCAATTCCTGTAATTGAAAATGGTTCACCAGGGACCTACTCAGAAAATGTTGTACTTTGTCGAAGTAAGAGTCGGCTAGAACAGGCTGCAGGTATTTGGCGAAGTGCCAAGTACCTACTGACACACAGTTCAGGGTTTCAAGATGAATTTTTACAGTGCCGTGGTCCGTGGACATCAAGGTTTCTCTTGCAGGAATCATTGACTGCTCTTGTAAAGATCAGTGAAGATCTGGACGGCAGTGTCAATAGTAATGCTGCTGAGGTGGATAATTCAAGATTCAACATTATCTTGGACTTGTTCTGCTCAACTTTAAGTATCTGTCTTAGTTCAGCCTCCATCTATAACATTAACACAATGGTGAGATGCATTCTTATTAATTTTTTTTTTACACAAGTACACATAGCCTCACATGCTCTCCCCTCCCCAAAATTGTGGGTAGAGTTTATACCCCCAGGAATCAGAAAATGAAGCACAAATGCCTACATTAGTTTTTAGAAAGTCCAGACTATCCTCGGCCTAGGTAGCCCAGGGCTAGATACAGCTAGCATTTTGGTACTATATTTTAATGCAGTATTTTTCAATTGTTTAATTTTACATAAAGAATTGTTAAACTGAGGCAAAATTTTTTTGTATATGGTTAGTTTTAAACCACTGACCTTTGGGAATAGGCGAGAAACTGTGGTTTTGTTGAATGCCAAACAGCAGCATTTTTGACCACTACAGGAAGTTGCAAAATTTAGGTGGGCAGACATTGATGGTTAACAAATTAAATGTGTTATGTTTATTTCATTATGTAATATTTATAAATTTATTGAAAATCCTGTTACACTCACTAATATAAATTACTTAAGAAATAATTTTTATTACTATGTGCTAATATTGATAAAGTCAGACATATTTTTAAAGGCTTTTAAAAGAAGTTGTTAATATTGTTTGGAAAATTTTTTTGTTTTTTGTTTTGGTTTTCATTTTTTATTTTTTGTTTGTTTTGGACCAATCTTGGTACATGGCTAAACAAGGTCAATTTATGGAGAACTTAAAAATAATTCAAGTTTTAAACAAATATATTATAAATTTTAATGTTTTTGTTTTTCAGGACTTATCTTTAACCAGCATTATCCAGAGGGTAAAACAAACTCTGGCTGAGTATGGCAACTTACATTCAGCCATTGGGAAGTCTATAATTGAGTGTATCTTAAGCACATCACTGCTTTTAAATCTTGACCCAAACCGGTTTCACAACAGTCGGATATGCAACTTATCAAAGGTAACTATAATAGAGCGGCTTAGTTCAGTTGGCTAAACTAGTGGTATAGCCACGGTATGTGCGCTGAACCGTGGAGATCTCTTGGTCCGTAGTTCAATTCCCATCGCTGCTCTCCTTATATTTCAGCTGGAGAGCTGAAATGCAAGTTACGATAGTGCACCGTCTTTCGGATGAGATGTTAAAGCGTTGTTCCCATTTGCTTTGTAGGCCATGTGCACTTTAAAGAATGCAGTACACCTTTCGGAAAAGAATGGGGGATTGTTTCCCGGTGTACTGCACAATCACCGCTAGAAGGACCCCACTGGAAATAATTCTTCTTTAGACGTTTTTGGGTTATCCTTGGTGTTTACACCAAATAAATCCAATCCAATCCAATACCTACTTACATATTTTTAATATTTTTATTAGAAAATATAAAAACGTGTTTGTAAAATAGAACATGTTTCAGGCAGTGTATCTTTATATACACTCATAACAGCTGAAAGTGTGTCTGTTTTATTTAATTTATGCGTGCTTATAGACTCATACCTTTTAAGTATGAAAAAGTGCTTCTGGTTAGAATTGAATCTGCAGCAGTATTACCACTAAGACCACAAAAACCAATTTGTATATAACAGATTCAGTCCAACCAGTATGAATATGTAGTATACAGGTTATATACAGTTTATATAATTATATTATATACTGGGTAACGATTATATTAATTTCTACTGTAACAGCAGAAGGATCGTAGTGGAACTTTTAACTGGGAGGATCTTTACGATGTCAGTGATTCCACCAGTGATCAAGGGGAATCGTGGATCACAGAAGGTGGCTATGAAGCTGACAGTGAAAGGGATCACAATGACCTTAGTGCAGGTATGTCAGCAAATTTACATTGGGCTTCCATCTTCTACAATTTAAAATAACTTCAATCTTATGCAAATTAAAGTTACTGTAACTTGCGGTACACCACGTAGATTCCACAAATTAAAATAGGAAATTTTAGACTATTGGACTTGCAACCGTCACATCATCACACACTTGGTGAATTGGGAAGTACACCATTACATGCGTGTGGGTTCCCAAGTCTGGACTGCAAGTTGTGGGAATCTCCCATAGATCGGAACGGTCTACCGCAGTCTTGGTTTCCCAACCTCGAGGTCGGGGTTTCAATCCGTCGCTGTGCATTTCGCTTGCCTCCTTGAGCAAGGCACTTTATCAGCATTGCTTCTCTCCACCCAGGAGTAAATTGGTGGGGTTGCCTGCCAGTGCTACTGCGCCAATATGGCAGCAACACTTAAGCATGAGGACCCAATGACCAGGGACAACAAAGTGATTTGTAACCTAAAGGAATATGCGCTATATAAATACTAAAATAACAATAACAAACAAGCAAAAATCTCCTGGAAAATAACCCATCTTCCACAAATTAATAATATTATCAATTGACTCAAGGAAAACAGTGCCGATGGGTATCACCAAATAGTGTAGAACTTCAAGAGGTCCGACTGCCCTGGTTTTGTATGCACGCAATGGAATGTTAAAAACAAGTACTGTCACGAGATAGGGGCGCCCTATTAGTACTCAAGTAGAGTTCGAAACTCGAACATGTACGCAGCACACGTTCAATACCAAACATCTTTTAAGGACATGTGTTAAAAAAATAACTAGGGACCCCTGAATGGCTTAAACCTGTCTTCTGAAAGATGGTGCTCTGACCTGTTTTTTTACAGGGAATGGAACTTGGTGAAATAGGGACAAAAGTTCACCCATGCACAGGGTGCATGTAGTGGTTACTCCCCCTCTCCATCCACACCCTGTTTTAACACAACGGCACTATGGCACTATGGAGCTATCATATCATGCAGCTTTGCATTATAATATCATAAATTATTCTCTCAAAGCAGAGTACACATGCTTAATTTTAAAGGTTAGCTTATGTTAACATAATTATTGATAGCCATATTTGGAGTCAGCTGGCCTGGTGGGCCATTTGTGTTGGATTATGGTGCCAAATTCAGAAGATACTATACCTAACATTACACAATTGCAGACTGTAGCAACAATATAAATACATCTGTCTTGGAAAACATGGGCCAAATAAAGTAAATAAACATGTTTTCTGTAATCCTCTATAATCTTGCATAAATCCAATTACAATAAATAATAACAATCAGTAAATGAAGGCTATGTGTGTGTTAATCTCTGTCCACACTGTAATGTTTTATATGACAAATACTGTGATATGCCCATATATAGGTATGACATTACATCATTATTCTTTATTAAAAATTCCACCAAAATTATAACAAGTCATGACCCTTAAGATCAAATTGAATTATTTATTTCAAATCACTTTTATTCAATAAAATTTCAGATACATATAAAAATATAAATATAAAAAAAAAATATAAATAAAAAATAAAAAAAAAAAAAAAAAAAAAAGAATTGAATAAAAGGAAGAATCAATGAATGAATAAAACTCTCTAGGTTACATCTTTAAAATAAGATGACAAGGGAGTAAAAACACAAAAAAAACCCAAAAAACAGGACAACAAGAAAAACAAGAGTTTCGAGAGCATTGTACAATTCATGACGGCCAAATGAAGTGAAAGACTAGGAGAAAATTACAAATTACTAAGTTGTAAGAAAGGGAGGATTGGTCCACGAGGGTTCATCTTTTGCATGGAATATGGAAAAGGAGGATATTATTGCTAATTTTGAAAGGTTATCACGAAACAATTTGAATGGTACTGTCTTGCCACAAAGGGCGTGAACAGATTTAAAACGATGAAGATTTGTAGAGGAAATGAACCCCCGGGAACCAACCTCAAAAACGATCAATTCGATATCATAGCCAGCGTCTGAGAGGTCCGTAACTAGAGGGGAATACTTGTTCAACTTTCTTTATGAGCAGCATCAATTGAAGTATCAAATGGAATAGTGAGTTCCATGATGGTAAGTTTTCTTAAGTCGGGCCAATAAAGGCAGATATCGGGAATGAGATTTGTTGGGATGCATTCAGTTGGGATTGTAGAGCAGTACAAAAGATAGATATCAAGTTTACAATATATAAAAATAAGATAAAATTTGCAATTAACAAATAGAAATAAAGAAGTTAAGAATTACAATTTGAATTAAAAAGATAAAAAAATGGATATAATAGGAATAAAAAAGATAAACAATTGAAAATTGGATGAAAAAGATAGAAAATAGGATTTAAAAGCAAGATGAAATCAAAGGTAGGTATGGTGTTTTGTTAGTTACAAATAAGCAAAAGGTTTATGAGTTGCCTATCCATATATGGTTTTGATATTTCATCATCATGCCTATACATGAGAAAATCTCAGATATTTGTCATATAATACTTCATACTGGATGATATTAAACATGTTTTTTTTTTTTTTGGCCTTCACATATGTTCAGTCTTTATGTTTTCAAGAAACTTATGCAAATTAATCATAATAGCATGGTAATGGTTTTAATAACCTTTTGACTGTAAACAACGCAGTCAAGTTCTGCTTGAATGTCGATAAACCAATCAGATCCACATCATACTGATGTTGTAATCATTTTTTGCCTACCAAGGGCCTGCTAATAGTGGAAATGCCAAGTGGTATTTGATTGATATTTGATTGCCTGGGATGGTAATGATATTTCTGTCTATAATTAGCCATGTCATCATCACATGATATACAGATGTTTCTTAGTTCTGGTGATGCAATTTTTGGAAAAAGAATAAAATTTGATTTCCTACTGTACTAGTGGAATTTAATAATAGTGATCCGCCATAATATTTTACAGATACAATCTATCGTTTTTATCATTGAGTGAGTGGTATAATGGAGTGGTGCCAAGTTGTGCTAGGTACATTAGAGGTGTTCAGATAAAGGTTATAACTAATATAGAGCCAAGGCTGTTGGTCTCATAGCTAAAGCAGATTAGCTCAGTTGGCTAATTAAAATGGCGGTAGCCACTATGTGTGCTCTGAACCTTGGAGACCCTTTCCTACCCACGGTCTCTGGTTCAATTCTATCGCTACTTTCTTTGTGGTTCAACTGTTGGGCCGAAATGCTGTCGCGCAACATTTATTTGATGAGATGTTTAATTTGTTGGTAATGTGTGTAATAATCCATGCATATTAATGACTGCAGTGCACTCTACGAAAAAGAGCATAGGATTGTCTTCTGGTGTACAGCCTATTCACCACCAGAAAAATCTCTTGAAATAGGTCCTCAGATTTCTGGGGTTATCGTTGATGTAAACAAATCTAATGAAGAGGAATGATTTTACAGTTTTTTAGTTATGTTTTTGGGCGATGTTGGGAAAGATGGACGGACTACCCATAGTTCTTTCTGGAAGTATAAAGATGAAAACGTGATTATAATGAAAACATCATTTGTTACTGTATATCAGACAACCATTTGAATTTGCACTGGTGCTAGTGAAGTACTAGTGATAATGATATTAAAAAGGTATTAACAAAAATTTGAAAAATAATGTTTAATTGTAATTTTCAAATGAAATACAGTAGAACACCTATTAAAGGGACACCCTGTGTAGAGGTTGGCTGTGGTGTTAAAATATATATATCTTTCACTTGTTTAGTGCCCAAAAAAGTGTCCCCTTAAGAGGGATGTCCCCTTAATGGAAGTCCTAATGGATAATTGTATTATAACTTATATACTTAAATGTTCATAAGTAAGCAGTTTAAAAATTTGAACATACAGAGGTTATTTACATTATTTAAATTATACTGTATCTAAATGATTTGTTGATTAATGTATTACTCATTAAAGGTGATGCCACGAAATCGAGAGAGGACTACCACCGTTACGGGAGACAGCGTGAGCTCCTCTACCCGCAGGTCTGCCGTATGGTGCTGGAGTTACTTGCCAAGGAGGAGAATCCAGAATGTCAAGATGTTTTGTGCTTTGCTCTCAACCAGCTAATTTACATAGCCAAGGCATGCGATTCTAATCGTATAAAACTTTATATGGATGGACTTGGAGGTACGATAATGAGATATTTTACTTGGATACTGGAGAGAAAGGATAAGACAATACAAGGTAAGATATGCTAATATTTCTATCACTTGATATAGTTTTTTTTTTTGGCTACTGGACTTTTAACTCATTACCCATCCATGCTTTCTGTGCTGTTGATTCACATGACCGTCTGTACAAGTATTAGATTGTTGACTTTTTATTTTTTTCTAGGACAGATCTATATATGGTGTCATATTTCGTAGACTTAATTTTGGAAGTCTATTCATTTTATATTTAGCTTATGATGCATCCAATAATTCCTCCAATTGGATCTACTGATACAACTGACAGGAGAGATGATAGCAAAGTGTCTACTTGCCCACAATTGGGCTAGACAAAAAAATTGATGTAAAATTTGTATTGTATCGCTGACATATTAATGGTAATAAATGTCGATAATGATTTTTATTGAATTTCTTATGGCCAATCACATATTCTCTGGTCTATTGATGAAGCAGCGTAGATTTAGCTTGCCAGATGAAATGCTGGTCTTCCAATCTTAGGGCCCTGTGCTTAAACCCTGTTAAAAATCATGATTTTCTTCTTTCGTGACTATCATAAGTGATCCAAATACGCGCCACTCTGGAATATGCGTAGCTCATGGATATTTAAAAAAAATTTTTTTTGCCTAAGCACTACTCTTGAATAAGGACTATGGCACTTATAAGAGATATATTATATTTTTATCAAATGTCATGGTGCTTAAATGATAGTGCATAATCATCATCTGTTGATGTTTTGTATTAGTGGGATACTAAATATATTAAATAACCCGATTTCTCATGGATTAAATAAGATTAATGTAAAGTCATAGGCATGTACCCATAATAAATGGAACCGTTTAACATTGCCAGAGAGCCATTAGGGTATCCCGACACATAGATGCCCTTAATATTGGTCACATAAATAACACAATCTAACTACAGTAACCTAAACCCCATTCCCAGTAACCAAATGAAACTATAAAGCTTGCTTAATATTACTTTTAAAAAAAAATCTTGAGACAATACATTTTTATTTGAAAGCCTAGAAAATTAAACTTCCCCTATAATCATTTATAAATTGTACATGTCTCCATTTAATTAAAGATGACTTTTGGGACCAGTTATTCAATGTCTTTAGCAACTTTGATCTCTATAAATTAGAATAATAAATAAAAAAGACATTTGTGAATTTGGGACCACAGAAAAGTGGTCTTTAAGTGGAGGTGTCTTTAATTAGAGGAAGACCTGTATTTGTATTGTATTGCTACAGAATGTGTCTCAAATTGAATATTACTATAGGAGGACCTATAAAATAAAATGGATTTCTTTTCCCCCTATTCTCCCCATCTAGCAGCTACAGCACCTACATTACTGCAGGCAACAGTAGCATGATTAGCAAAACCCAGACTTTAATCGTAAAAAATGTACAACAAAGGCACAATGGTATTCCTGGAATAGACTTTGATGCATGTTTTATAAATTTATACCTAGATCAACTCCACCAGTAAATTACGCTACATTTAACCTTGACTCCCTTTCCAGTTCATCTCTACATCTACAAAAATCTAAAAATGGGTACCAGTATTATTCTATTTTTAGTTTGAAAAAATACTTTGTTTTATGTACAGTATAAAAAAAATTTTGATTCTGTAGTTTACTTGGCCCTCTATTTTTTCACTTTTTTGTTCTCGTATTTACTGGTAGATATAATTATAAGGAAAACAGATTCAAAAATTATGATTTATTTCAAAACCTGATCTTTCTTATGTTACAAAAAAATGTATTGATTTCAAACAATACTTACTTTCATAATTAAGAGATTGAAGAAGATAAACACAATATGTTATTAATGTATTGCTAAATATATATACCCACTAGTGATTCAAGAAAGGTTAATTTATAATATCAATATTATTCATGTTCATCAGCTGTGTAACACTTCATGGCCAAGGGCCAAATTGCGTGTTATTTACACTTTTATAAAACAATTAGAATCCATTCCATAATCAATAAAAATTCTAGTCATTAAAAACACCTAAAATATTAAAAGGATAAATGAAAGACAAAGGGAATTTCTTTTAATCCTTTTTATACTGGGAAGCCTATTTAGTAGTACTACTGTTCTACAGGGCCCAGTGCAAGGAATTGGCATATAACTAAACATTATATAAAGCTAAATTGGCCTATATTCAAAATAAGATTGATCATTAATTACATGAAGCATATAGCCACTACTGTACATTACAATTATTATTGTTGATGTTTTTGTGTCTACTGCCCCAGGGGTGAGGGCAGTAGACACTTTGTTATCATCTGGCAGTTGACCTTGTGAGAGTACATCCTGTGGAGGAATGTTGGGATGGGTCCTGAGCTTAAGGTAAAAATGAAAAGTAAGTTTACAAAATATGCTACCATGCTGTATATGACCTGTCCTAGTTAAGTTATCAAGTGAATTGCCAATACAGAAAGCTGTTAGATAAGACCAGTCCTAGAAAGTAGTCACAATAATCTGGTATATACTTGTACAGTTATTCAAGTGGATTACCAACACAGAATTCCATGGATGAGTTAAAAAGTAGCAAAAAAAAAAATGTAGAAACAGTAGAAACATGCTCTCACTGGGAGCCTGTGTTTGTATTTGTTGTTGTCTTCATTGTTATTAACATAACTGTTCTAAGTATTTCAGTTTCATTTGTAACCTACATTAACACGGTTTGTGATTTTTATCTTTGTTACTATCTTTGCAAAAAAAAAATCTAGTTTAGCTATAGCACGATTATATCGATTATTATTATCGATTTGGTGTGTTTTCCTTTTGTAGTTGTTCAAGACCTGTTGTTGGAACTGTTCGCAGTTCTTGTCCAGCCCTATATGTCTGCTGATGAGTTGCGCCAGTTACTGCATCTGTTCCAAACATCCAGCCCTCCTATTGTAAGTATTAACAATTTTGCTATGGAGGTTATGTATTTATCGTTGTTTTCTGTCTTTCTATTTGTTAGCAGGATGTTTCAATACCTAATAATAAATGGCACATACTAAGACGTGTTGAATTTTGAAGGGAAAGGGTCAAAGGACAAAGTTAAAGTCAAACATAAAAGAAAACAAAGAGAGGAATCCAGTAGCTTAGTGGATAAGGTGCTTGCCTTCTAATCCCAGTGTCCTGGGTTCAATTCCTGTCACAGCAGGACTTTTCTTACAACTAAAAACAACCCCACACCCTAAGCCTCATGAAGTGACTTAACTGATAAAGCATCACATTATTTTCATTTATTTAAGAGGGCTCCTGAATATCTGACAACCTAGAATACGCTAGACGGGTCACCCACTATATAAATGGTTAAAAAAAATAATAATATAATAGAATCTTCCTTAAACACCCTCTGTATATTTGGTATTTGGGCATAGGGCAGAGAAAGGAAAGCTATGTAGAGAAGTTATTTTGCTCTCTACAGTACTTTTGTTATACCGAAGTACATCCTATCCTTAACAATCTGGATTTAATTGCAAGTTTGTTATTAATATTATAACGAAATAGAGGTGAAGAATTTATTTGATTAAATTCAAGTATTTTGTTGCAATTTTTTTCTCTAGGATTCTTTGTTGAATACATTATTGGAAGTTACTGGTAGGATCAGTACTCAGCCGTCACACATCCTCTGCTTTCCCGTGCATACCCCACCTCTGGAGGAAACCCCATCTGCGACAAGTACCCCCAACCCATCTGCCTACAAACTGCCTGAAGATCATTATCAATTCCCTAGCCCAGATCCATGGAGCCTAGCACCGCTAAGATTACCACTGCAGAACCAGCTTAACTGGCCCCCGATTGGTAAAGGTTTTGGCCTGACAATGTGGATGCGGGTTGAAGAGAAAGAGGGACGAGAGAAGCCTGCACCGAAGCTCTTGCGAAGCAGACGATCATTTAGATCAGCAACAGGTAATGAAATCTTCTTTAAGGTTTGTCTGCATTAAAGTAAAGTATTGGAATTGCTTTCTTCAAATTAAATCACTTTTTATTGTCCAAATGAAAAAAAAAACAAAACAAAGGAGCATAAATATACTGTAATTCACTAGGTCAAAATTACTCTAAACATAGTCCATTGGGACAAGTTGCTGTTAGCCTACCACAGCATGACCTGAAATAAACCTAAAAACTTTCCATTTTACAGAAAGCAAGCGCAGTATACTAAAACATGGAAAGATATTTCTATGGTTTTGCTGCTAAAGATATTCAGAAAAACAAAGAAAATAATAACTTCATATGTTTGTTACGTCATTACTTACCTGGATATATACCAGTTTCCTTTTGGAACTAACTTACCAAAAAAAAAAAAAAAAATTGGAATCATCCAAATAAGTTGGTGTACATATTACAAATATCATATATTCATGTAGTATACCTCTATTTTCAATTTTGAAGCACGATTGCATCAATAGAAAATAGTTAAAAAAAAAAAAAAAAATTTAAAATAAAGTTTAAATATTAGAATTGCTTTCATTGCATACTTATTTAAATTTACCAATTTAATATTAATACTGTTTTTATATACTTTGCAAGAAATTGTTTGCTAATAATTTTTTTGTAGCAAAAATCTGAATCATTTTGATGTGTGTCTCTCTGGAATATATACAGTATATTTTTTTAAGCAGCAATTCAAGGTTTGAAATTAAATTGTTAGGTGTTTTGGATTTTTCGATAATTTCCATAATTATGTATTTTATTATAAAATGTTTGTTCAGATTAATTCTTGTTTGATTCCCAACAAGAACCTCAAAGATATCTAATTATCAATTTTTTTTTTTCAACAGGGAAAACTAACAGCAAGGTACAGCCAACCTACAAGCCAACAGTTTACCATTCAGGTGGAAATTTTGAAGAAGGTTCATCCATACGGAAGATGCTACTCCTTCATATTGTATCCATGGGGAATTCAGATGGATTAGTTCAGCTCTGGGTCGATCCCAAGTCAAGTTCATTTGTTTTCAGGTAAGTTTGTTTTGCCTATTGTTATGCCAGTGTTAAAAACAATTTCTAACACAGATGGCATCAGGACAATAACATCCAATTAGTATTAGAAAGTGGTTTATGACTGGTGTAACAATAACCATTGCCTTTTCACACAACATAGGAATGTACAATATTTAATATAACAAATAATATATCAAAACAACTAATAAAATATATTATACAATTTAATGACTAAAAAATAATTATATATAACATGTTTTTATACCATTTAGTCTAACTTCTAAAAGTTTATTGTTTATTATTATTTTTCCACCTGTGTTTATCTTAATAAAACTATTATAAAATTTCAATAACACATGATACTGTAATTTAACTTACAACTAGTCAAATACAGGGGCAGATCCAGTGCAAAAAAATTGGGTGGGATCTTAACCCCTCCCCCCTTCTTGCATAAACTTATTCACACAAGCAGTTTTCCCATATCTTTTAAGTCCTTTTATGTAATGAATAGTTAATATAAATTAATAGGTGAACTAGTACTATAAAAAATACACATTATTAATATTAACACTGAAGTAAGAACAAGTTTTTCTTGTGTATGTTTTTGTTGCACCCTAACTTCCTCCAGGGGCCCCTAGATAAAGTATCATTATCATTATGTTTCTTTTGGATGTGAAGGTACTGAATATTTTATCTTCTAAGAGTGCTAAATATTTACGACCAGCATCAAGATTTTATCACTTGGTGTCAGTCATCTAACCATCACTTGGTGTCATTCATCTAACCATCTGCTTTCTGACTAAATATTCATAAGAATTCTGTATTAATAGTACACATTACCTTTTTTGTATTATTTGAATTTTCAATTATTATTTAATTAATTTTAACATTTACAATGATCCAAAGCATAACAAATATAGTAATAGTAATAAAATGATACAGAATGAAGATTTTATCACTTGGTGTCAGTCATCTAACCATCTGGTTTCTGACTAAATATTCATAAGAATTCTGTATTAATAGTACACATTACCTTTTTTGTATTATTTGAATTTTCAATTATTATTTAATTAATTTTAACATTTACAATGATCCAAAGCATAACAAATATAGTAATAGTAATAAAATAATACAGCATAAAGATTTTATCACTTGGTGTCAGTCATCTAACCATCTGGTTTCTGACTAAATATTCATAAGAATTCTGTATTAATAGTACACATTACCTTTTTTGTATTATTTGAATTTTCAATTATTATTTAATTAATTTTAACATTTACAATGATCCAAAGCGTAACAAATATAGTAATAGTAATAAAATAATACAGCATAAAGATTTTATCACTAGGTGTCAGTCATCTAACCATCTGGTTTCTGACTAAATATTCATAAGAATTCTGTATTAATAGTACACATTACCTTTTTTGTATTATTTGAATTTTCAATTATTATTTAATTAATTTTAACATTTACAATGATCCAAAGCATAACAGATATAGTAATAGTAATAAAATGATACAGTAATGATAATATACAATTATAAAATTATATAAATCCAAACTTTTATTGTAAAAAGCAAGGCAGATTGAGAGATGCATACTAATTCAGTGTTAAGTAATCACCATTGGGCATAGCATGTATCCATTAAACTCAGAATACAGAGAAACAAACATATGGCTACACAGCATGTTTACTTTTTACCCAGCATAAAAAAAATATACACAGGCTCTGAACTAATTATGAGGCCAAATAATCATGGTTGTTAAAGTTTGATATTTGACTATGGCGCATGTGAACTAACCAGCATTATATTTTGAAAAAATAATATATTATTTGACATATATTCAGAAAATATTAAATATTTAACTTCTTAGTTATTTGATGCCAAATATTCATACAAGCGATAACAAATATTTATGGGACCATCTAATTAGGTAATTTAATACAGTAAAGCTCAACCAGATGGCACCTTAATTAATATTCAAGGTCGTTTTATTTTTAACATGATTTTCTAATTGAATCTAATTACCTAAACATTTAAAGTAAAGGCAAAGGTTTGATTTTATTATGAAAGTAAATAAACGTTCCTCAAGTAACTAAACGTTCTTGATGATGACATAATTAATGTTGAAATATTGAATCCTAACACATGCGTGCAATTCAATACTTGGAGTATGTAATTATACTTTCGTAACTAAACACTGTTACAGTATTTTAAATATGTTGCACAGAAATTTCTTTTAATCTGGCAATATAAATTCACAAATATGAAATAACTAAACAGACTCTATACAAGCTTTACAGTATAATATTTTACCTATGGTTTAGTTCACTATTAAAAACATGAATTATGTATGGCCATGTTCCGACTATCAAATGTTATTTGACAAAAAACTGTTGTATGCCTATATATAGTCATGATGTGCCTATATATAGACATGATGTGATGTCATCATAACTATATTATTTTAGTCATGTCATATGTTTTTGTCAAATAAAATTTCATAGTCTGGCCTGGACTTTATAGACAGAAGATTCTCTGAAATCTGGTGTTTTGTACTTGTATTCTTATTATTTTTATTGTTTTTTTTTTAACTATCTTTTAATATTACTGTTGTTTTTCAAATTTTTGCTTTTTTGTATTATTATTTTATTATAAATATTTTTCAGGGCATCAGAAACTAGGCAGAACCAATCAAAACAACTAGCAGAGAAAGTGATTGAGGTGAAAATTAACCCTAGCCAATGGCATCACATATCACTGTCATACGTTGAGAAATATGATGGACTAAAGGTAGCAGGCCATGTGAGTATTATTTTATTTTTATTTTAATTATTTTGACATTCGTGTATGGTGCTCTACGTGAAACAGAGCACCCTACAAAACTTACATTTCAAAAGAAAAAAACCAAAACAAACTAAGTGTAATAACAAACAGCTCAGGTTATCACGATTACAATTAAATTTACAGTTTAAGCATAAAAAAAACATGCTAGTAAATAAACAGTAATACTACAAAAATTAATTTAATAATAACATTGGATTGAATTAACTTTAACTAAAGCAAAATTTTAATTTCTTTTTGCTATTCAGATTCTCCTTATCATTGATGGCCATGACCAATATGAGACGCTTTTAAAGTATGAGGTATCGTCCCCAGGAAGCCCAAGCCCAGCAAATACATGTTGCCTGCTAGGCCACTTGCTCCAGGGGAGTGAAGCCACTCCAGGCCTGTGGCAGATGGGCAATGTGCTAATTTTCAATGGTAAGAAATTATTTATTGCCTGCCATTAATATATACTGTCAGCCTTGCTTGTGTATGTGGATCTGTATTGTATCTATCATAGTATACCTGTTAAGAAAAAAAGTAAACATCTTTAAGTCATCGGCCCATGAATGGTTGTGGTTGGTTTGATTTAATTTTAGATGCAAGCGCTGACTTTTGAACAAATTCTAACTAATTGACAGAATAAATTTGTGAATAAGATCATGTTTTCAAGAAAAGTCTTTCATTTTATTTTATCAATAATTTTCATTTTGTATATTATATTTAAATTGTCTGATTTTCCATATTTAGTTGTCTTTTTTATATTTCAGTTTGTCTGGTTTATAAAAAATTAAATTAAGTTAAATTAAAATTAAATATACATTTACTCCAAAATATAAGTAGAAAAAGAGTACATAATAAACTATAAAAAATTGATAAAAAGGCTAGTATACATTAAATAAATATATATAACGACAGTATTATCAAAAATATATTTTCTGTATTTCCATATATTTTTTTGTATTTTGTCATTCAAAAATCATTGTTTTTTTTCTTCCATTTTTAAAGATTCTCACTTAATGAACAAGGAGACATGTTTCCATCTCTTCACAATGGGACCGGATTACTATACATTAGCAGCCTGCGAAGGCAGCAAACAACCAGCAATGTACAACCGTCACATATCGGAGGATGTGCTCAAGTCGGGTATCAGCCACGACCTTTTAACAGAAGACAGGGAAATGGATCTGCGAAATCTAAGGGTAAGGAAAATTAGATTTTTTTCAATAATTTGTACACAGTGGCGGCTCTAAGATATATTTTCTGTCGGCTAAGCTGTCCGACAGGGGGACTTGAGCTCGTAGGTTCAAGCTGGGAGAAGGGTTTGGGAGAGGGTGCCCCTGCCAAATGAGATTTTTTAGAATAGTAACATCTGGATGGCCGGAAATGGCACTCTCAGACTGTGACAGACATGTGTTGGCTTGGTGTGGTCATATTTTTATATTCTTTATGGTCTGACTGCCCAACAAGCTCTGTCCAACGGGGGGAGGGGCGCTGACATTTCTGGTGGGGGCTTAAGCCCCCATGCCCCCCGTCGGCGCTGCCACTCCTTGTACATATACTACTGTGAAGAAATGTAAAATATATATTTATCCCTTTCTCTCTATTTGGTATAAAACCACAGTGACTCATTCTAAGTTTTTATAATTAATTTTTTAGGAGAGTTTCCTTGCTGCTTTTTCGCCGTGTGATGGTGAAATTTTCAGTTGTTATACTTCATCGTCCCAGGCAGTTAAGCCTTTCACTAGGATTTTGTCTGCAGGAGGGTTGAAGCCCGCATCCAATGCACTGTTGAAGACACCAGTCCCCATGGAAGTCAACAGGTTATGTGCAATTGAAAGTCATGTCTACAGAGATATGCAGACTGCTGTTCATGAGTTGGGTGGTACGTCTGTGTTTCTGTACCTGTTTGCCAGAGTAAGTTTTTGTCTTTGTATTTATAACTTTCTTATCTTTATGATACTCAATGTCGTTATCATCATTGTCATTATCACTACCATCAGTATCATCAATATTGTCTTCATTATTTGACATTATCTTCATTATCAGCATCATTATCATCACCACCACCATGTTCATTATTATCATCACCATCATCATCATTATCAGTACCACTATATCATCATTATCAGTACCACTATATCATCATTATCAGTACCACTATCATCATCATCATCGTCATCATTACCATCATCATCACTATTATTAACATCATCACTATTATCAACATCATCAACATCAACATTTATCACTACTGCCATCATCATGATTATGATTATGGTTATCATTATCATTATCATCATCTTCTTTATTATTATTTATTATCATCGTTATTATGATGATCATCATAATCATTATCATCACTACCATTATCATCACCATTGTCATCACCATCGTCATCACCATCATCATCATCATCATCATCATCAAATTTATCATTATCTATCTGAACAACTGATTCACATCCCTTCATTGCAGGTTGTAGAAAAAAGCAGTGACAGACAGGTACAAGCCAAAGCCCTCAAGGTGTTGTTTCAACTACTTAAAGGAAGCCAGTCTTTGGCTAGTGATTTCAGGTCAATCTCTGGGCCAGCGTTGCTAGGCAAAGTTCTGATGTCATCATCTTGCATTGTGGGATTCCAAGTTTTAAAGGTGAACAATATAACATTGATATCACATGAGAATGTCAGCTCAGAAAATAGATACTTCTATATAAAAACTATTTGATATAATTGTGAAATTATATTTACAGTAGATAAAAATTTTTAAAAAATCTGTTTTAATGGATGGCAACAACATATGTTCATGTGGTTGTAGTGAGTATGCTTGTATAATTGGTGTCAATTTTGTTGAACTCTCAGCTTTAGAGATTTATTTCATTGAGAGTTTAGAGTGATAATTGTGGACATTGATTGAATAAATCTTGATTGATTGAATTTTTTCACCAGATATTACTAGATTCATGTTGCAGTGACAGCATATTAACATACTGTAGCCTGACTAATCAGTACAAAGTGAACAAAAACAGCCATGCAGTCATCAAGTCCAACCATCTCCTGGTCTACCTCATCCTAGCCTGGAAGCTGTGGGAAACATCCGAGGAAGGCGTGTGGGAGACGCTGTACCATGCCGTGGAGGTGTTGATACGGGAAGATCATAGACACCGAAGCTTTAACATTGCTCAACTTCAGAGTCTAAACATAGTGGATAAGCTCTTGATGATTATCAGAGTAAGAGATTCAGACTTTGAATGTATATGATATAATTCTTAGATTCATCCTTTTATATCTGTTTTAAATGGAAACATCCTGTATTTGATCATGTGATTGTCAATGGTGCAATTTTAATCAAACTTAACATGTTAAATTTTCATTTTATTTGTGACATATTTATATTCTTTGCTCGTTCATTGTAGATGATTATTTGTAGTGCTTAGCCATGAATATTTACAATGTTATGATAATTATGCAAGTTTTGTTTCGGATTTTGCTTATGATTTAAGTTATAATTCCAAATTTTCTGAAAACTGCATATTGTCTTCTGGCAAAAGTGGGTACTTCCTTTCAGCGACTCACAGGCATAGTTTTTTTGATTAGTTTTGGCTATTACACTATTTCCATAATTTGGAGGTAATTAAAATAGAATAAAAATAGTAATTACTTACATAAATACTTATTATAGTTTTGTTTGATTTTTTTTCGTAGGAGCAACACAATGATTCAACCACTGTGTTTCCGGGAGCTGTCTGTTTCTCTATTGTGAACCTTATCAAAGCCATTATGGGAAGCCCGCCAGAAACGCACCTAATTGCTGAGGTCTGTGATTTCCTCTTAGCGGTTCATCCAGCAATCCAGACCTTTATTTGCCATGCGAAATCTAGTTATTATTTCACATTACACACAAGTAGGTTCTATATCTTTTGTCAGATTTTAATCAATGTTCGTAAAACGCCTTCCGAAATGAAATTGTGTCAAGGCGCTAACAGTATTCAGATCACTAATATTGCAAACAACCGAATAACAATAAGTAAGAATAAATAGTATATTAGCCGTTCTAATAATGAAATGCGATGGTGGTCTTTACAATGGCATTAATATGTGCACTCCTGATGTTGAGATGGCGTCGCCATTACAACCATATACACATATGTACCAGGGCATCATTATGCTTGGCTTCAATACTTCCACCTAGAATAAGCCACACTGGTCATTATCAAGTGATTTGTTGTTATCATTTTCAGTATTATTATGTTTTTGTGGAGATAGTGTAAAGTACAGTTATTCATGAAAATAACTGTTTCTGAATATTAGGTGTCTCACAAGACCTCCAAGCAACCCATTCCCAGCCTAGCCCTCATTATCATCTGTACAGTGACACTTCCAACTCTCCGGTTACGAGCACGCCGAACAGACCGAAATTCCAGCTATCAAGAAGCGTATCAGATCCTGACAATGTTAGTAACCCGTATCCTGGGTCCAATTCAGATGTTCCAGCAACACCTCCGACAGAAACCAAAGATTCGTTGCCAGACATGGTTAAGGTTGGTTTGTGCCAGGCCACCAGCCTTGAAGATGAAGAGAGGAGGACTAATGGATTGCAAGTTGATATAGATGTAACAGATGCGTCCACTGTAGACAAAGATCAAATTTTGCAACAAGGTATGTTGTTATTACTTCACTTTATTTTCATTCACTAAAATATAAGTTGCATTTCATAGCCCAAAGGCAAGTCGAAAGCAAACCCACATCCTTAATATCGTTGCTGGTTCTAATGGCATGTACGCCAGTGGTTTCGGACCAAGTTTTCTGGGTTAAGGACTATAAACCGTAGGCACAGTGTATACAACAGGCTCATGTGCACTGTAAAGAACCCAGTACATCTTTAGAAACAATTAAGGGGGATACCCTAGGGTACTAGTCCATACAGCCCCTGTTGTGAACAGATGAGAGAAGCTGGCACCGATTTACCACATGGCTCAGACACAAAGAGACCCTTAGGGAAGAAGAAAGTTACTGTACAAGCTAATCTATGCGCGTTAATCGCCCTTAAGGCTTAGGTGTAAAGTGCTGTAAAAATCAAATTATTATTATTATTATTATTATTATTATTATTATTGTCTCCACCAGGAGATATGTTTTCAGTTGTGTAAGTTTGTGTGTGTGTGTTTGTGTGTGTAACATTTACGTGTTTTGTGTGGTTTTCTTGTGTTCAAATTATCTCAAAAACGACTGCACAGATATAGATGAAAACAACAGGGAGTGTTAGGTATGGCCCAATGAAGAAATTATTAAATGTTGGTAACGGTCCGGAGTAGGGTGTGGATGTGAGGACCAATTAAAGGATTTAAAAGCAAACAATCTACACAGATACTTCAAGAATGTGTCAATTTATCAAAATGAAGGTTTTGTTAAGGTTTAACCAAGTTACAAGGAAAAAATTAGAAGTGTGAGTGACGATCCAAATTCACGTGTGAATTTAAAGGTCATTTAAAATGCTACGGTCCCAGACCTAAATATTTCTAAGAATAATCAATGGATCTAAATTTCCCTTTCCACAATAGTTTGTCATATTTTGATGAAGAAATGTTTTGATTTTGGTGATTTTGGTAGGGTGTGGATATGAGGACCATTTAAATTAAAATGTCCCAGACCAGATATTTCAAAAACTAATCGACTGATCTGAATTAAACTTTCGTGAATGTTTAATCAAGTTACAAGGAAGAAATTTTGGAGAGTTGTAACAATCCAAAGTCGGGTGTGCATTTGAGGGCCATTAGGTCCCAGACCAAAATATCTCTAGAATGGATCAGTGGTTCGAAATGACGCTTTCCAGAATAGTTTGTCATGTGTTAATGAAGAAGTGTTTAAATTTTAGTCACAATACGAAGTAGGGTGTGCATATGAGGGCCATTTAAAGATTAGGTTTACCGTATACCGTAGGCAGACAAGCTGTGGGATGAATATTCAAATTAGTGCAATTACATTTAATGTACAGCGTTTTATATAACTTCAATTATTGGGAACACATTGGGAATATTTTCAACACCAATACTTGGCATGTATTTCTTTTGTCAATTATAAAAGTAAAATATTTCTGTGTGTTTAACCAGCAGAAGTAAGGAACTGGCAAGTATAAAACTAATACAATAATGAACATTTCCGGTTGGCCGGTTAGTGTTTTTTTTTTAAGTAGGTGGTGGTTAGACAGCAAGTGGGTTGTCGCTTTTTTTTTTTTTTTACAATCAGTAGTTGAGAACAAAATGTTGCAATACTGTATGTTGCTTGAATTTTGTTGTTCAAAATGTAACATGTGTAGGCGTATTGGTGCTGCATGATCCGTGTGATTTACAGACCTCAAGGTCGGGAATTCAAACCTCATACTGTCCATTTTCTTCTGGCCATGCATAGATACCCCAGCTTACATCGTTATAAAAGTTGTTGTAAAAGTAGCTTAGTAGCTGTGGTTTGAAACTTATGCAGCAAACCATTGATTAGCTAATTTGGAACTCTCTTGAGTGGGGACTTTGTCTTAATCAGTAAAAATGCTTAAAAATAAATCGATTTTGGCACCAATGGCATTCCATATTACTTATTTGCATATTGTTCCATAGTATACTTTTTCTGGGATTAGGCATCAAAATGTTTCTCGCCATAAACTGACACTGATGGCGCTCTCCGAAATTTTGCTAATTGGACACTTGTGGCAAGTCTATTGCACTATATATATAAAAAAAAAATAGATTTGAACTCGTCACTAATGACGAGTTAGATGATCCGCTTGTCCGGCACAAGAAAGCAAAACAGAAAAAAAATTGTAGCCCACCCAATTTGAAACTGGTCACCACAGGCATGCTAGACAAATATTTTACCACTAGACTAAAATACCGCCCCATAGACTTTGCACATAGAGCTGAAAATGGGACGTCGGTATAGTCACAATTTTAACTTTCAATCAAAATTTCAGCATGATCCCAACATTTGTAAATACAGTTTCAGGAACCCAAAATATGTAAAAAAAATGTAATTTCTAGCTTCTGTACGTGCTGTGCGCGGCACAACAAATTTGGAAAAATTTTAAAATGCCCAAAATGAAAAGGAAAAAGATCTTTTACATGCGGATCACCAAAATTGTGTAGTGAAAAGTAGGCTGACATGGAATTTTGGTGAAATTCGGATTCCGAAATCTGAAAGTGGCCACTTTTAAAAAGAGTCTCAAAAAACATTACTAAAAGTGGAAATAGTAACCCTCTTTGAAATAAAAAGTGTTTGGGCGAGCTACTGTGCGTATTAGAAAAGGAGTCGAGCGAAATCTGGTGGGGTGGTACTGGTGGTGGTTGAAGTAAATTAGGAACATATTTTGGGAGATTTATTTTATGTAAAGTATTTGCGGTGGGACGGAAATATGCTCCCTGCTGAGTGCTCCTGTTATTGTTTTTATTGTTGTTGTTGACATTTACAATGCTGCATACTGAAGTATAGTACTCAGACAATCAACCAAAGTTATTAAAAATATATAAATAATATAATAATAAAAATATATACCAGTAATAAAAAGTTTAAAAAAAAGGTGAAAGTGGAGAGACATCAAATTTTAGCCAACTGTCTATGTGTGACAACTATTTCCTTACCACTGTCTGTTTGAGCACTTTTATTTTAAATGATCCAAGTGTGACTCCATAATGTTTGTCTTAAGCCATCTTTACATTTGGCTGTTTTAAGCCCATATGTAGTCATGATGTGCCTATATATGTTCATGATGTGATGTCATCCTGACCATATTTAGGCACATCACATGTTTTTGTAAAATAAAAGTTTTGTTTTCTTTTATTTTTAATTTGAGAAAATAATGGAAGGCCAGCATTATAAGCATCAAGCTACTCAAACCACTGTCATTTGATGACTTGGTTTAAATATAGAGATAAATTATAAGTTTACTTTTTATTACATGAAAAAAATATGACTAATATTTTGTTTTATTAATTCCTGTAGATGAAGAAGACTTCTGCATCATTCGATCACCAGATAGTGTTTCTTTGACCTCTTCGGAGGATCAGAATGATGAAAAAACTACAGCTAATAATCGTGCCAACTCGAGTTATGACACACTTGATGCAAGTTGCATGAAGGAGCTCCAGTTGGCTCTGCTGTGCTCTGGTCTTTTAAAGCTTCTCTTCAGTGCCATTGTATCGATGCCTGATGCCAGTCGCCAGAAGATCATTGGCATCATCATCAAACCTGATCTACTTCTGGTGCTCGCACATCATGCTCATGATGATGTCAGAGTTAACATTGTTAAGGTAGGCTTCTAACATGAAGTTATTATGCTTCATGTAAGGTAGTAATGTAATTATGTAAAATTTCTGAAGCCTCCCAAAATTAGTTTAGTTTATTTACATTAAATCACTATTTTAGTTTGGTGGATGAAATTTTTTTTTTAACAGTTCAAAATTTGTGCAAGTCTAGTTTCTTTTATGTTTGCCAACTTATATGTACTAGCATATGCCATTTTTCCTTTAGAGGAAGTTATCGTGAATTAACTTTTTACATCTTAGTATGGTGTTAAAAAATTATTTGCATTACGTAAACATCCTCATTTTCCTTTCACTGTTGACCACAATGATTTATCTGAAAATTACCAGAGTAATAAACCACTGTTGAGCAAGCTACATACTGTTTTCTCAGAAGGCATCTTTTGTTTACTGAAAGCTAAGTGCTGTGTTGGATATTATACCTTTATTTTAGACTGTTTGTTCAGTCTTGTTGTCCGTAGGTCTAAACCAAGGTTGATCTGCATTGTCTAATTTTGTTTTTTGCCCACATGTCATTTATACAGATTGAGATGTTTATAGAATTTAATTTTTCTAGAACTTAGATGTGTATGATGTTCATCATTATTGTCTTTCCCATCATAGCTTCTAGAAGTGTTCTTCCTCCGAGCTGATGAACCACAACTTGAGGCATTTCTTAAAATGCGTGGGTTCAATCTTTTGGCCAATCAGCTTCACCAATACCCAGCTACTCGGGAGTTACTTGAAGCTTGTTTGACGATTACGTATGGAAAACCGGTTGATTTAAGCCAGAGGTGAGTCAGTGTTGTTCACTATTCCGTCGTTCCCCCCATCAGCCCTCCCATATCAAAAGTACCAGATACATCATGGGAAGTAGTTTTTAATCTATTGAACATAAGTAAATCCTTGCCAAGCCTCGTGTCTCATAGGGCTTGAGCTTATCCCCAGTTTCTGTAGTGTCAAGCGGATGAAAATCTGATACCCCCCCTTGGTGGGACCTAGTCCACTGCAGGTTACTCCCTGCAGTTTTGCTGGAACCCCTTGATATAGCTGGGTAGAATGAAGCAATTTAGATAAAGTGCCTTGCTCAAGGACACAAGCGAAATGCACAGCGAAAGATAGAAACCCCGGCCCCGAGGCTGGAAAACCAAACCATTTCCGCTGTGTCAAACCGCTTACAATTGAACATATGGGGAATATGTAATTCACACTAAAGCCCTAAAATGATAAATAAATTTTTATTCCAATGCAAAATAAGAAAAGGGCTGCTATTAGTACACATATATTTAATTTTGTTTTTTTCTCTCTTCTTTTTCCTTTCTGTTTAGTTACAACCCAATGGACCTTCAAGACATTGACCACTTCCATCAACTGTCGCTCATCCCGTGTCTTGCATTACTTGAGAACTGTGTCCATGAACCCCCTCTTTGCCATAATGCACTCTGCTTGCTCTTACACGTAAGTTTATCAACAGTAAAATTACATTCATTGTAAGTTGGTAGTCCCACATATATGCATGATAACTTGATGTGAGCCTGCATGATTATGTAGAAAATGTTACCGTCCTACACTCTCCATCATATATGCAGTATGCATCATTAAAATTTAAGCACCGTCTTTTGGTGTAATGAACCATCTACTGTATCTGGTCAAAAAAAGCCTGGGCAGAAAATAAAATTGCCCAGGCAAAAAAGCCTGGGCATTGCTTAAAGTAACTAATCCACATGGTAAGTGTAGCTGAACAAATTGTACCCAGGAAGAAAATGTTACTAACATAAAGCCTGTTCTCCACTAGGCGAATTTATTCGCGCGAATCGAAAGCGTCGGCTTATCAAATGCGCATTCACATTTATATAAGATTTTTTGCAAAGCGAAAAAATGCGCAACCAGTCAGAGCTTAGAAAGCGAACCGGCGAACTTAACAAATTGCTGACTATGATCATAAAAATAAAACTTTGTGCTATTTGTTTTCCTATAGCTCTTTGAAGGTGTGAATCCCCTTGCTGTCGTAATGCTTGAGAATGGAATTAATGAAACACTATGCAATGTGTTGACAGCACTGTGCACCAAGCCGTTGGCACTAGGAGTTTGCAGCGATGACTTGAAACTGCTAATTACCGATGTCCAGCATTTTATGACCTGTATCATTATAAGGGCTTGCAGGTATGTTGTGTGATTATAGGAACTTTGATACATACACCCATGTTATTAGCACTAAAAACAAGATTTAAATTTAAATATTTATTAACCATGTTATTCCTATTTTCTCTCTTAAAGAACACCCCTTCAAATAATAGAATAACCCATTATCAAAAGATTTCACACTACATTGCATTGTTTATTGTTTTTTTCCCTTGATTGCTGCTGTTCTGATTTTCTTCATATAAACAGTTTTCCTTTCCCTTTTCTAGTCAAAGCATTCAACAGAATATGGACTACTTTGACGACCTTATGACCTTACTGAGTGGAATTGAGCAGGAACACTGCTCAAATTATGGTAGGTTTTATTGTACTTATGAGCATGTGGAAACAGAATACAGAACTTTTTATCGGTATTGTAAAAGCAAAAGTACAGTACAAGAAATTTCAGATGAAACTTTAAGTTATTGACATAATATGATATGCACAATTATGCACAATCCTGCTCTTATGTGCGCTATTCTTGCCAATTATGGCATTGTGGTGCTCTGCGCAATACACAAATCTTTCTAGGCCTTTCTTCTAGTTATGTTTTTTGTGCTTAATCTTTTATCACTGTCCATCTCTATAATGTTTGTTGAATTATCCACAGGCGAACAGAGTTATCCAGTTGAGGTTTTCCACGAAACACAATGCTACATTGTGCGTGAGGTTCTTGGCCACATGCAAGCCACATCGTGCCAACAGGAAGCGGTGGTCTCCCACTTATGGAAGTCTAATTTCATTAGAAGCATTAGTTATTCAGGTTTGTATTACTACTCCATTTTGTTTATTCCTTTTTTTGGATGCACCGTGACACTAAATGCTACCTAGATGAACTGATATATGTCATATTTCTTTTTAGTGGAGCTTACCTAAAAAGATATTAGAATCTTCCCATAGGCCATAGATAATGATGATATTCATTGTAAAAAATATCGAAAAATGTATTGGTTCATCTGAGTAATCCTACTGACTAATTATATGACTGCTGATTTCAGTATTCTGGGTTAAAATTTCTACATATAAATACTAATTACTGTAATTTTTTTTTAATTCTTGGATTCAATATGGTTTATGCTATACCTATTATGGTAATGGTATATTCGATTTATCTATTGCTTCTTTGATATACTCTGATAAACCTTTTGTTTACTCCAAATATTAACCATCTGATAATCCTCTCAATTTATATTTCAATGGTATGCAATAATGTATATTTATAGCGACCTGATGTGGGTTTTTATTTTACTTATATTTCTTTAGCTATATCCACAGTTTTCTGTATTATATTCTCATAATTATATTATCATATGAATAACTTTGTCAATTATATTTCTTCATGCGATCATCATGTGATAATCTTGTATAAAACCATGTTTAAAGTATGTGACAATAGTGTGATAATCATATATTCCTTGTAATTGTCATATGTTTAACATGCAATAATTATGTAACAATCCTGTGATAATCATAAAAAACATTTGTTGGTCTTACGCTAATCAACTCCAGCCATGTGAAAATCATGCGATATATGATAATGGTGATATGATGATACTCCATAGACCCTTGTACATAATAATGTATACAGCCACATGAAAATTCATTTGTTGGTCTTGTGGTAGTCATGCCCCAAACATAAAGTGGGGGTAGTCATCTGTTGGGGTTTGTTTTTGAGTATAATGTTCCAACCACATGATGAACTTGTGATACTACTCTCATTATACAACACTTTATATGAACATACCGCAAAAACCTTGAGAAAGCTCTATAAGGTTAGTCTCGAGAAGGATCCCATCTTGAAAAAAGCACATGGGCTTCTAATGAAGGTAATATGGGCTTCCTTCAAGATAGTACTTACATTCAGAAGATGTCATCTTTGATTATTATGATTGCCTGTCAGTATCAATATTATTTTATTGTACTAACATGGTTGAAATTTTAATAAGTATTAAAATTTCATAGTTGAAAAATGTTGTATAGTAGAAATTCCAAAATTTACATCATTCATTTTGAAAAGAAGCCCCCTTATTAGTTGGCAAAAAGAATTTTCGAAAAGAAGCCCATCTTGAAAAGAGGTCCATCTCGAAAATAAACCCATCCAAGGGTCCTAGAAAAAAAGAAGCCCAAGGCTTTTATTCAAGGTTTTACGGTATGTTGTTCTGATATCATCCTCCAGCCATGTAACAATGATGTAATAATCATTTTACAAATATTCATTTGGTGATCTTATTATAATCATAGAGAAAATATTTTCTCTATGTTATAATCATGTGGCAATCATGTGATAATCAGTATAAATCTCTTGTACTTGTCATGTAACAACCATGAACTACCAATGTGCCTTTCATATGACAGTCATTGCATGTTTGTTGGTCATTTCAGAACGGAAATATGAGGAATCTAAGTGCCGTCAGCGGTCACTTACCAATAGGAATGGACACCTTTTTGTATCAGGTCTATCATCGTTTTCATTTCATTAACCCACAATTATTCAAGCTAACATTGCTTTAAAGCACAATACATTATCACTTGCTATTAGGCCCCTTTAACAAGTTTTTTTTTTGTTCAACAAAAATTAATATTTATATCTGATTATTTCTGATTATTATTACCTTTCATTGTTATTATATTATGTGTGTTAATGTTATAATTGTAATTGTTAAATATAGATGGCTTGCCTTCAAATCCCAGAATACTGGGTTCAAATCTTGTGTATGTCACAAACAACCCCATTTCTTTTGTACAGAACAATAGTTTATTCTGTGAGAGGCAAGTCATTTGTTGGGTGAAAATTTAAAAGTTAAAAAAGTATAATATCTAGATTGATAGATTTAGATAGATTTCTTTGATTTGCCTTACGGATACATTGCACAACATTTATAATGTAACTAAAAATTGTAAAAATAAAATAATTACTTAATCTTGCTTACTTCCTTAGTTTCTTGCTAAAGAATAATAATAGTATAATAATAGTAGTGTGGGAATTATGTTGCATCTTTTGCCAAAGCATACAAGGCGCTAGCAACCTTATTTTCACCCCGGGTCATTAACAAGATGTTGGCAAACTGGAACTTAGTTCTACCTTCTTCACTCCCTAATGAGTACACCTAGTCATGGTGTTTATAGATTGATACATTTAATGAAACAACATCCTACAATGTCTATGTATACTTTTGTGTAGAAATAGACAAATTTATGTAAAGTGCCGGGCCTAAGGACTCCAGTGAAATGCACAGCGAAAGGCTTGAACCACTAACCTCAATGTTTAGAACATGAATCACAAATGCAGCACCAACTGCTCTTACAGCGGATTGCATGATAAACTAAAGATGGAAATTCATAGTTCCTAATACGATACTTTGTTTCTAATTCCTAAATTAAAGGCTTCAACACAGCTGAGATAAATCCTCGAGAGAACCTCCGCAAGTCCCTTAGCTTCAAGTTGGCTAAAGATATGCCTGCAATGGAGCCTTTGGTGCAGAACAAAGGCAAACCTAAGTCTCAACTTCCACTAACTGAAGGTAACGTCTGAAGCTTGGTTTCCATAGAATCGCTTACCCTATCGGCGACAGTCGCTGACAGTTGTCGGGAAAGCTTGCAATGCACCCTGATTCTTCTGCAATGCAATCGGCAAAGTTGATCCAGGTTCAACCTTCCCGACAATTGTCGGTGACTGTCGCCGATAGGGTGAGCAATTGTATAAACCAAGCTTTAATAAGATATTCTTCTAAAGCAGTGATGGCACCAGATGGTTATCTTTTCGAATTAAAAAAAATAATTTTATGAAAAATAACAGTAATTTATTGTGGGCTGCTGAAAAGTGGTCCTTAATTGGAGATGGTCCTTAATTAGATGTGGTTCTTATTTAGAGTTGTCCTTAATTTTATATCTGTTATAAAATAACACAGTTGTTTATGAAACTTTCATCATCTGTATGCTATTTGTTGTTAGACATTGCATGTTCTACCAACTCGATCAACAGTTGTCTATTTTGGAAAATTCTATGGTTTAATATGGTAATATTTAAAATATAATATCAGTCTACAGTATTTCATGTAATTTCTTATTATTTTTATAATTATTATTTGTTGCTTAACTTATTTTTTTTTTATCCAGACCAAAGATATTCAGTGTACCTTGATACAATGTTAAGATTACAGCGTAATGAAGAGGCCAAAGATCAAAAGAAGCATACCAGTCAGCCGGTAGCATCTGAGCAAGACATCACCAAACGCTTTCAACATTTGTGTAAACTTGGCGTTAATCTTACCATCATGAAAGGTACGCATATTATACACTGTTAGCTGTCTGTTCTTCTTCCAGATGGAGGGGAAACTTCATATTTGAAGGCTTTGGGCAGAGATGGATGTGGACTACTCATTTTGACTTCTCCCCTAAGGGATCTGTCGTGTCATCATGCACAAGCCAAGAAAGCCCATTGTCTAGTCCACACATGACGGGCGTACCGTTCAAACCAGCGCGGATATTATGGCTGTAATTTGTGGCGCCACTACCTTAACTGCTCGGCTGTTCGACTTGCTCGCTATCATCCTTAAATATGTTTTATTACATTGTAATCTCTGTCCACACTATCAAATTTTCTTTGACAAAAAGCTGTTGTATGCCCATATATGGTCATGATGTGCCTATATATGGTCATGATGTTCCTATATATGGTCATGATATGCCTATATATGGTCATGATGTGCCTGTATATGGTCATGATGTGCCTATATATGGTCATGATGTGATGTCATCATGATCATATTTAGGTATGTCAAATGTTTTTGTTAAATAAAATTTTATAGTCTTCAGAGGGCTTCATTATCAAAAGAGGCTGTTACATAACATCACATGGCATCTATTTATAACATTAGAGTTGAAAGGATTTGTGGTTAAGATGTTTGCCTTCCAATCCCATGATCCTGGACTCAATTCCTGTGACAGTAGGCCCACTCCGTAGGCCTTGATATGAGACATAGTTCATAAAACATAACTGGGGACTATGGGACAATTGGAGGTATTATGTTTTTACCAATTTTTAATACTGTATTATCAATTGTCTCTCGGATATCAGTGCCAATGGGTATCGCCATCCACAGTAGAATATATTTAACTATGTTAAGGAAGCTTCGTTTAAACAGATCTTCCGGATGTGGATGCTTCCAACTTGGGATCCCCTGCATTCTAAATAGAAAAAGAAAAATAACATAAATTAAAATTTGTTTCTTAGACCCGAAGCTCATTCTACCAAAGTCTCCAGCTGCCGACACGGTGCTTTGGTCATCAACAAAAAACCAACTTGACTCCTACCAGGACCTGCTTCTCAATGAGCTCTACTCGTTACTAGTCAACAGTCTTATATCCACTATGGTAAGTGTGTACCTTACCCTTTTCTGCATGATTGATTTGAATGTAGAGGAGGAAAAAACCATGTCTTATAGATAGAGAAGCTTTTATATATATAATTTATTATGAAAATTGAGTATGCTAAAGATTTTGTAAAAGCTAGAGTGATTGATATTGTGGATGTGATTAAAAGAAAAAATAGGCATGGGTAAGCCATAAGTCACAGAATTGATGACAAGATGGAGCACATCATTTCCAGTTTAGACTCCCAGGAAGGGAAAAACTGAGGTAAACTACCGAAACAATAGAGCAATAAAATTTAATAATACTGCGGATTTGTTAACTGGAGAAAGAGTGACCAAATGGAATGCTAAGGCTTTCGTCCAGCAGTGGAATGGCCATGGTTGAAAATGATGATGATTTAAAACATCGGTATAGAGGATGATTACTTAAGAGTTAATGTTTTTTAGAGGTCCTCTTTGAATAATGCAATTACAACAAAATACCTTTAACATTTACCATACAAAACTCAGCCTCATCACTCAGTTGGTAGGGTAAAATGAATTGTAATTAGAAGGTCTTGGGTTCAAATGTTGGTAGAGACAGTATATTAACTATCATAATATATGTGGTATAGTTGATATTTATTTTAACAACCTATGACCTAGTTTATACTTAACCAATCTATAGATTTAAGCTTTTTAAATATTCTCGTTTTTTAGGAACAGAAACGGGGGAAACGTTCACAGTGGGAAAGCGTGTTGTGGTCTTCTCGCGATACCCTACGGCTACAACTTAGCCGGTTGTTCATCCACATGTTGTCACCACAGCAGCCTCTGCATGCAAGGGTACTCAGCTTGCAGATTGCTCCCAAGAAACGAGCCAAAGACATCTTAGAATATGTGTTCCAACATCAGGTACAGTGAAGATATTACTGGTGGTTAAGGTGCTTGCCTTACAATCCCAGGGTCCTGGGTTCAAATCCTGCTTCACTAAGGTTTTTTTTTGTCATGGGTAAAAGGAAACACCACTTCCTAAACCTTGTTATGACACTTATAGAGCACCTTAATTCTTGTGTTAGATGTGGATAGGCTGATAAACTGATAGGTGGGGATAAAATAAATCAATAAAAAATAAATGTTTGCCTCACTAAAGTATGGTTTTCAAAGAGAAGGAAATATTAACAAACTGATATACTTAATACTATTCTTGTTTTATAGATGCATAGAAAAATTCCATTTATTTTCTTTATATGCATTCTCTTGCATAATGGACCGGTACCTTTTCAGTGTGTCAATCAAACTTAACAACTGACCAACCAGAACAAACGTCATTTTGTGGGACCTTAGGAACAATATCCAAGGGGCAGGGCTTAGCTAGCAGAAAGGTCCATTACTAGAATTATGATAAATATCCAATTATTGACCATCCATAATTTCCCAACTGTGTTTAAGCAAGACATCATTTTTTTTATTTTACAGAAAGTTTAACATTTATAATGTTTTCCATCTCCTTTTTTTTTTTTTAATCCATAGTTCAGTAGCTTTCTACATCTGTTCTTGTACGATCTACTAAGTAAGTACGGCTCGTTCTTGAATCCCGAGGAACAGAAAAATGCACTCTTAGTACAGAAGATGATGATTGACTTAGGATTCGAACACATCCCTCCAGAAACTGAAGACAAAAGTATACTAGATGAGGTTCACCAGGTGAGAATACTTATAATAGAGCTAATTTCGGTGCTTCTCTTCCATTGCTCGGATGTTTTTCACGTATGTATATTGATCAACTGCGGTCTTATCAGATTATAAATAATAATAATAATAATTCTGGATTTATATAGCAAGACATACTCTACACTATCAGATTTGTTTGAATGAATATGAGTATTTGTCAACTTCCAACAGACAAGGTGTGACACATAATTTTTACGTCAGATGTGTCTGAAACAAGCCTATAATGCAGGGGTCTATTTCTTATCCAGTCTATTCATGAGTTCATACTCTGCGGAGATGTTGATTTAGCTATATCACCGCTAGAATATGGCACTCTAAGACGCTCAGTCTCTTGCTTAAAAAATGTTTCCAATTATATTTTAGCTAGGTAAAATGTCATTGACAATTCCAGCATTCCCATCTGCCACCCCTGTTATTCTGTTAGATCAAGTTTGATTAAAATTTGTCTCTTGAGTCTAGTATTAAAAAAAATCAAAGAGTGAAACACTAGAAAATTTAAAATTACATTTTTAATTAATTTTTTTACAATTCTTTTTTGGTACAGAAAATGATACGAGCTAAGAGTGAAATTAAGGTTGTCAAGAAAAAATATGCTAAACAGAAATTAACTACAATGAGATCAAGAAAAATTCCTAAACAAGAGATTATACTGAAGGAAGTCTATAACTCTGCTATGGATGTTACTCAGGTATGGCAACTAGATGTACATTATATTGAAAAATGTAATAATATTAACATTGTTGAATGAACGCTGTACATGTATTTGTACATTTATTTATTGCATGTTTTTTATTATTTGTTTAATTTATAAAATTTATATAATGCACATCTTACATCAGAATGAACTGCTTAAGGCCAAGTCTGTTCTGTTAATTCTTTTCTGAATAACCTGACTAATTGCCACTATTCCTTAAAGAACACCCCTATGACAAAAATAGAACTGTCCAGCCAGATCAATCATGCACAATGTTAAAACTCCTCCGCTTCTAGGAAGTATGTGTGGAATTAAGCGCTACCAGTTTTATTCAAAATCACATGCCTCCTTCCAAAAGCTATAAAATTTGTGCCACATGGCTTCTACTGTTCGCATTATTTTTTATTGTTATTGTATTTATTTTTTATTTCTATTCACAGAGGATTTCTTCCTATCAGCATACGTTGCGTAAAAAGCTGTATGATCACCTGCGTCACATGATCACCCATGCGCTGGACGCACGGACCGGTTGGCAAGACATCATCCAACAGCTTGCCCATGAGAGGTCAGTGATTTTCCTTTTGATTGAACAGTTTATAAAAAATAATAACTAAATAAGAAGTCAGCAGTATTGCAAAAGAATGGTAATTAATTGGTTAAATGACCTGATTGACTTATAAAGTAGTAGTTATGGTGTTAATTCATTGTTTTTAACAATTTCAATTGTTAAAAACAAGCAGGTTCCAAAAGAGTTTCTTTCCGTCAGCCATCCGGGCCCTCAATGCAATACAATAGCATTTCATTGTGTCCGTTGCTCTGATAATTCACTGTTTTTCCATTTGTTCATTGTTTGCCGAATTGGACGTTGGTCCATGTTAAAAAGAGCCTCAATATTTTCTATGTGATGTAATGTATGCGTTGCAAATGATATAATAAATTGAATTGAATTGAATTGAATTGAATTGAATCTTATCTTCATGTCATGTAAATAAATATAAATTGCAAAGTATGTGCAGATTAAAAATTATTTTAAATATCAAAATATGAAATGCAATCACTGTACCACCAGTTATTAACATTTTCAGAATTTGTTCTCATATTATAGAGTAAAATTTATACTATACAACTTAAAAATATACATAAACTATTGTTTCCTTCCACCCCCACAGAGCTGTATGGTATACCCCCGATTGCTACCCAACCTCATGGCAGCTTGACCCCACCGAAGGTCCCGGTCGTGTTCGATGCCGTTTGCAGAGGTGCCATCTTGGAATTAGCAAGGAGTTTATCTTGGAGAACTCCCGGAAAAAGTCCAACACACTTCCTGGTTCTCCGCTGGAATATCTTTTCCAGGATGTGATTCATTCGTCTGATGCTGATGAGCTTAAACGGAAATTACAGGAAAATGAACAAATTAGGTAATGAAAGGATTTATCTTATTTATGTGATGTGTTTGTAAGCTTAGGTAGATATACTCTTTTATGTGTCTTTAACTGAAGTATTAGATATTTATAATAAATAATAATAGTATATTTTTTTTTATTTGTCCCCAGTCAAATTCGAAATTGGTAATTTGGGCTGAGGCCCTGAGTTCAGGTTCAAAGTTTTGATTTCATTTTTCTACAATTTTACAACCAAATTATATCTTTAAACTAAATACATATTTTTCAAAAATCTAATAATATTTTTGGTTTAGCTAAACAATAATAATAATACAGTAAAAATAATGAGGATATTGTTAATGTTTTTGTTTCAGACATACGTGTCCATGCTTGAATGTAACCCCAGCATCTGAAACGAAAGGAGAAATTTTACTTGGTATGTACTGATGTTTGTTAATTTCTGTATGTTGCTATAACTACAAAAAATAATGTAATAGTTACATCAATTTGATTTAATATAAAGAGTACAAGAAATTTCTTTGCAATTTTATCAGGCTTCATACAAACAGACTATAATTAATACCCACCATGTATAGTACAGTAGTTATTGACAAAAATAATTGTTGATAAACATGTACTTGATTGATTTAAAGAGCGCCCTCAAGTTTAAAAAAAAATTGTACATTTGTGGAACATTTTTTGTTGTACATAGTCAATATGCATACTACAATTTGGTTTTTTTTAATTTTTTAAAATAAGTATTCTCTGTTTTTATTGGTTCAAAGGACTGAATACTATGTACTTTGTTGGAGATGAACCAATCATGGATCCTAATATAACACAAGTTGTCTTAGGAGATCGTGAAGTAATGACGTTATTGTGGCTGTATGAGGACATCAAAGAGATCCTACCGCGCTGGAACCAATTACGCGACAACGCTATGGAAGTCTTCCTTGTAAATGGAAAAACATTTCTTCTTTCTTTTGAAAGTCAGAAGGTAAATGTTAATTTTATGTTGTTATACTAATAATTTTGTCATCTGTATTTATCAATCAATCAATCAATAAATCAATAAATCATCTTTTATTTTAGATCCATAGCATAAATCATGAACAAGTACAACTTCAATTTACAAATACCATATCTAAGCTTTCGGTATATTTTGGAATTATTTAATTAAATACCAAAAACACTTCAGTTGATTGATGTTTATACCTCCATGATTAATGATGTTATCTAATCATTATCATTATGCATCACAGGAAAGGTTCATTCAAACTTTCAAGTTGCACCTCACATAAACCCAAACTATCCATTTCAGAGTAGGATCATTTAATCCTGATGGACCCCCTTTTTATATAATTAATTTATTGCCACTAATGCCCCTCTCTAATCCTTGGCAAATAATTCCGGATCTGCAGAATAATATACCCTGTTTTATTTTCTTTAAATCTTGTAGGAAAGAGACGAGGTTATTCAGAAGATTCTGGCCAAGGATTTACCAAATCTCATCGCTGTGGACGATATATCGCTCATAACCCAAATATGGCGCAATGGCCAGATCACCAATTACGAGTACCTTACGCAACTGAATAAAATTGCGGGAAGATCATTCAACGATCTTATGCAATATCCCGTATTTCCGTTCATCCTTCGTGATTACTCAAGTGTTGTAATTGATCTTGAATCGCCTAATGTTTATCGTGATTTGTCAAGACCGATTTCTGTACAAACCGATGCAATGGCTTCACGCTTCATTGAACAATACAAGGTACAGGATTTTTCCATGAGATCTCGGTTATTAATTCGTCAAATTAGCTCTGTACAAAATTAAAGCTCTGTCGACACTCTCAATTTTATTTGACAAAAACATGTGACATGCCTAAATATGGTCATGATGACATCACATCATGACCAAATTAGGCACATCATGCACATCATGACTATATGGGCACAGACAATTTGATAACCTGGACATATTGTGAAGAAGCCCAAATATTTTAAGATTAATAGCTGCATATTTTACTTGTCTTCTAATTGGAATTTTAAAATTGTATTTTTTCTTTGGTAATAACAGTTATTGGAAGAAGAGTTCTTAAAACAGGAAAGGAATGAGGTTGAAGGAAATCTGATTGGATCGTTCCATTATGGTTCCCATTACTCCAACAGTGGCACAACCCTGCAGTATCTGGTTAGAGTTCCACCATTCACCAAGATGTTCCTACAATACCAAGGTAGCTATACGTTTTTGTTAATTTGATGTGGAGAAAGCTTATAAAAATATGGAAATATGTGGAGTCAACAAAGAAGTACATGATTTTTATAATCATACATAATGATAATGCATTTATAAAGACACCATCTATCTGGCAGATAATATTGGTTGTAGAAGTGTCTTGGCATTTAATTTGTATTGCTGCTACTGAAACTTCATATACTGTTCTCTCAATTTTTTTGCAGACAACCATTTTGACATCCCTGATCGCACGTTCCACTCCATTGAGACGGCTTGGCGTCTGTCATCCTTCCAATCAGCCTCTGATGTAAAGGAACTCATTCCAGAGTTCTTTTTCTTCCCGGAGTTCCTTGTCAACAAAGAAGGTATTGTGGCAAAAATGGGAAATTCTAATACTAAACAAAAAAATAATGTTTCTAAATTTCGTATAAAGCAATTTACATAAAACAGAACAATAGACAAAATTAATCATAGAAATAATATGTTATAAAAACGTTTACCTAAAATACATAAAATTACCCTTCTTTATTTGAAATTTTCTCATGCTCTCATGTTCCTTATTACAGGATTTGACTTTGGCCTGCGACAAAATGGAGAGTTGGTTGATGATGTTACTTTACCAATCTGGTGTCAGGGCAGTCCTCGACTGTTTATCCTAATCCACCGCCAAGCGTTGGAGTCCTCGTTTGTGTCACAGACTATCAATGGATGGGTAGACCTTGTCTTTGGATACAAGCAGAAAGGAGAGAGTGCAAAAGAAGCTATTAACGTCTTCCATCCAGCAGTAAGACTTCACTAAGTTTGTATTAGGGTGTTAAGATTATTTCGGTGTGAAACACACCAAGGATTCTGCTGCTCTCATCTATTCTAGGATTTAGATTCGGGCCTACCCAAGGCAGAATGAGTGGTTGGTTTCAAGGCTGTACCCTATGGTTAAATCATTACATTTACAGCTGCCTTTAGGGTAGAATAGAGTCTGGGCTGCTTCTAGAGCTGACAATATTTAATGTGCCTCTCAAAGCCAGATCCTGCTCAAGGCTGCATATGCCTTTTATTTTTGGATTGAATGATTTTTCTTATTCAAAACAGTTTACCTAAACACACAATATTCAGACTCATCTCTTGTGGTAGTGGAGAGTGAGGCTTCTTAAAGAAACTTCTTCCATATTCTCTCCCCCCCCCCCCCTTTTTTTTTTTTTTTTTCTTTTTGCAGCCACTGCTACTGCTCCCCAAGTTCTCCACCAAAAGGCAGCTCTTTCTTTCTCGACAGTGTGTCTCCATATGTTTTTGGGTCGTCCTCTATTTTGTTTGCCTCCTGGATTCCAATTCATTTCTGTTTTTGCATTATCATCCTATCATACTTTTTTTGCCCTGCTGCGCGATGTGATGATCTCTAGGCCACGTTGCTATGTAATTTATGACATGCACGAATGGTACGATGCTGAGAGAGTTTCACCCTTTGATCACCTAGGCCTAGGAAGTAAACCTAGGCCTACTTGTGTGTACTATTTCATTACTTTTTTAGGTCTCGTAGAATCTATGTATGAGGCATATAAAACAAATATTGACTGCTCTAGATTCAGGGAACGTTGAAATCTATAGCTCCTCGGTGATGTAGCCTATCTTCCCTCAAGCATTTGGCCCTTGAAAACATAGGCTACGGTCTCCACATTACCTCGGATTTCACCATTCCCCACATGAACAGTCAATATTTGTATACTAGTAGATTTCATCATGTATGTGTGTGTGGGTAGTCATATTTGGAGGTTTATGTGTTCATGATGGTGTATTTTGGGGTGAAGAACTTTGGTCTTATTTCATTATTTAATGAATATACTTTAATCTTGATTCTTTTAGACCTACTTTGGCATTGACACAACCAAAATAGAAGATCCGTTAAAAAGACGTGCATTGGAGACAATGATCAAGACGTATGGACAAACACCCAAGCAATTGTTCCGACAACCTCACCCACAACGATTTGAGCCAGAGAAGCTGTCTGAAGCAGCAGGCATTGTGGGCCTAGCACATATGGCAACTCGGAAGATGGGAGGGAAAAACATCACACCCCCTCCCCCAGAGAACACTCAGGTATGTAAAATTGCTGGTTGCGGCCAAGGAGAATGTACAGCAGAATCTATTTGAAGATCACGTTTATTTAGGGACTTCCTCTATTAAGGAACCAAAATAGTTTAATTTCTCTCGGTGCTAGATTTGTCTCACTGTATATCGTTTATTTGCTTATTTATTTTTGCCTGTCCATCTTTTTTATTATGTTGAGCTGTGAGACCCTGGTAAAGAGTGATAAACAATTTCTGTGATATTTTTATTCTTACTATTGACAGAGTCCTCTAAACAGCGTGAAGGGTATTCGATGGGGTGGTTATGTGGGGTCGCCTGCTGTGGCTGAGCCTGTTGTACGCTGGAGTGTGGCTCACCCGATACCCGCCCAGCATCTCATCCCGCTGCCGACAGGGAGTGTGTGTGGAGTATCGGCCAATCAGTGCCTGCTTGTTATGTACAGTAAAGAGAAAGGTAGGTACTGTACCTGTAGTATTGATTTAGGTGACGGAAATTCAGCAAGGATGTTGGTTGTGGTGATGTTTAAGTAGGGCTCCGCATTGCCTATGTCACAATGCTACTTGGAAAGTATGGTGGATTTGAAATTACGATAAGGCATTTGGAACTGAATAGGGTCTAAAGAAAGAAAGAAAAAAGGATATTTGCAAATTTGCATTTCAAGAAGAAATACCAAAGTAGTGATTTTGAATTAATATGTATACATAAATAATTCTGTTACATTTTAAAGAAAAGACAGTAATTTTCATTACAAAGATTTACAAAGATTAACAAAGTTGTTAGAGCTTCCAGATGCACTATGGACTTGTCCAGAACGTCAATCAAACTTAACAACTGACCAGTGCCAGGAATTTGTGCGTGTCCAACAAACACGTGTTGTCCCACAAACTCATGTTTTTACTTACATTTACATTATTGTTTTGCGAGAACTTAAGAACACTAGGGAGCTATCAATTGCACAATGCGGTAAGACGTAGAACGTAATTAGGTCGCTAAAAAGTCATCTGCGCACACGAGAACGTTTTTGCCATGTGGATTCTAGGATGCAATTTGACCAAATCTATGTTATGCAGGGAATGTAGGAATGTCATGCCTGGGTGAATCCCTTTTAGTGCAGCTTAATCACGCAAATCGCAAGCTCCCTAAATTCCAAGGGACGGGGCACAGCGGAAATGTCCACTGAGATGACAATGACTGTATTGTGTATATCATGTCTACTGTGAATTAACCAGGAATTTCCTGTCGCTACCTGATAGGTGTGAGTGGTGTACATGCAGTGGACATCAAGTGGTCAGGAATTGCTAGCTGGGAACACTCGGATGGTATTTTACGTCTCAAGCATAAGCCCAAGGTGCCTCCAGTCAACTTAATCCACTCCAACAAAAATGACAAGGTAGATGATATTTTATTTTTTTCATTGACTGAAATCTTCTACAATCACTTGGTATTTTGGTATTTATATAGTGGTGGTGGTGCTGGTAATAGTTGTTTGTGGAGATGATTGTGGTAATTCTAGTGATGATTGTGGTGATAGTAGTGGTGATGGTAATGAGGATGGTGGTGGTTGTGGTCATAGTAATGATGGTGATGCTGATGATGGTGGTAATAAAGTTGGTTGGAGTGTTTGGAATGAAGATGGAGGTGAAGATGGTTGTTGGGGTTGTGTTGATGGTGGTGGTGATGGTGTTGGTGACTGTGTCGATGATGATGGTGGTGCTGATGATAATGGGGATGGTATCATTGGTGATGGGTATGGTGTCGATGAAGAGGATGATGATGGTATCGATAGTGTCGGTGCTGATAATGATGGTATCATTATTGATGGTGTTAATGATGATATTCGTGGTGTCAATGATGGTACTTTATTTTTGCTGAATCAAAAGTATTCACTAGGCAATTACATATATTTGTTTCACATATTGTATGTATTATGTTTTCTCTGTAGATAACATGCTGTAGTTCAGTGACGGACTGTCGCCTTCTACTCACTGGCTCGGCCTCTGGAATCATCACAGCCTACAACACCAAATACAATCCTGACAAGGTAAAATATTAATTATATCACTCTCAAAGAGGCTATCTATCATACCATATTTATTTGAATAAACACCCCAGGGCGTTTATTGTTGGTGTTTTAGAGGAGGGTGTTTAATGAGGGAGGCGTTTTTTTGTTGTTGTTGTAAAATGGATATGTATACAGTCAAAACGCCCCTTAATTTCACTGTAAATTTGGAACTGTAACACATAATTACCACAAAAATTAGTTAATGCGTGATCATAAAGACTTATTGATCCTAACCAGATTAGAAAAACATGTAATTTAACTGGAGTAAAACATTATTAGAATTTGTTGAGAATGATGTTGCTTACATTAGTTTTGTTCACAGTCATTTAGAGGGGGAAGGGGGTGGGGGGTGTTTATTTGAGGAAAAATAAACACCCCAATTCGAGGGAGGTGTTTATTTCAAATGAGGTTCTGGAGGGGGCGTTTATTTGAGGGTGCCGTTTATTCAAATACGTTGACTGCAAAAACTTGAAAGTGGTTAGATGCTGATTTTCCAACATTATTGCTACATGTACAAAGCTTAAACATTATATCAAATGTGTTTTTCCCATTTTTGTTACAGCAAGCTAGCATTGAGATTGTCGGTAGTAAGGTTTGTCTGTACGGCCACACTGATGTTGTATCTAGCATTGTAGTTTCTCGTCCGTTCAGCATTATGGTGACCACAAGTTTTGACGGAACATGTATTGTGTGGGACTTAAACCGTCTTTGTTATGTGCAATCTTTGTCAGACCACAGTGGCGCGGTCACTACATCTGCCATTAGTAACACCTTGGGTGATATAGCTACAGTGGCTGTCCAAGGTATGATCATTTCAATTGTATTTTTAAATTGTGGAATGCATGAGAAAAAAAAATTTAAAAAATAAAAAAATAAAATAAAAAAAATAAAATAAAAAAATAAAATAAAAATAAAAAAATAAAAAAAAATAATAAAAAAATAATAAAATAAAAAAAAATAAAATAATGTTTTTTTTCTTGCTGAAAAATGGAGATTCCCAGTTCCTCATTCAAATCCATCGAGCTGCAATTCTAATTATGTTTGAGCTAAAGGAAGGCTGAAATACAAATACCTATGATTTCTCCAATGAGAACACCCCTAAAAATAGTAGAAATTATGAAGTCTGCATTGGTGTAAGTTTGGTTGTTCTTATACATAATACTGGATTGGATGGTTCTATTATTTTCATGGGGTATTCCAATATTAAGGAATCATTGGTATTTGTTGCTTTATCCAAATGTCAGCTCTCTTTGTGGTTTTTTTTTTTCGCTAGAGGGAGTATTATAAAGACATTTCTCCTGCATGCATTAAAGCTTCTGTAGTTATTAGAGAACTCTGTGTGTGATCGTTTGATAGGAATCAACGTACTGATACTCATAGCAGATTCATATCTATACAGGGGTAATGTTTAGACTACCAAATTTGCCATCACCAGTAAGATATCCAATGATATCGCCAATCTGATGACATCACTGGTAATACACCTTATTATATGACCTAAGTATTTGATGACATCACATATTAATTAAACCTGAATAAGGTTCAAAGGAATTTCTTCTGATGACATCACTAATATCGAGCCTCACCTTATTTCAAAGCTTTTTCACTGATGCTATCACTATTAAAAGTTGCAGTACCAGAACTGTGAACCCTTGCCTGATGTCATCAGCACCTATATAACAGTCTGGTTCCAGGTTCAATTACAGAGGAAGCCTATCTGATGATTTCTTAAATTACAGTCATCTTTGAGAACATCTGGCTGTCAATGTTTTTTTAAAATTTTTTTTGTGTGTTTAATAGTGTTTGGGCTGTTGCTTTTCAGAGTCTGGCTCATGCAGTCTCCATCTGTGGAACATCAATGGTAATCCAATTGGTAGGATCATCTGTGAGATGTCAGTCTTGTGCGTTGCTTTCTCTGATGCTCCTGAGGGCATCTCTGTCAACTGTTTAGCTGCAGGCTGCAGCGATGGATTGATAAGGTTTGTCTAAACATTATACATTCTTGGTTGATGCTGTTATTGTGGTTTCAAATTGCAGGCAATATTGAAAAAGGAATAGATTTGAGTTTACATTACCTTTGTTTATTATTTATTATGATATTACTGTTCTGTTGTCGGTATGATAAAGGCTTATTTAATGCTGGTGTAAAATTGTTTATATAAATGTTGAATGTATTTTTATATCATTAAAAGTGCCCTTAATTATTAACTGACCCTTTTGAAATGTGGTTTATAT